AATCTCTCCCTCCTCATTCTCCACGATTAAAACCTCTTCTGGCCGAACCATCTTCTCGATCATGACTGTCCTCAAGTTCGAGAGCACCTCGTTGTACTTGTGCTTTCGTAATGGGTAGTTAGCCAGTACATTCGGGTTCAATGCTCCGCCATTAGATAGACCGCCGACGCCCATGTTGACTAAGGGGTTCACATCTGTAATCGGTAGCGACTGCATCTCCTCATATAATTCCTGAACAAGCTTGGTCCAGTACTCCAAGCAGATCTTGAATATCTCGCGGTCGTCAATCTGGGAAATGCGAATAAGATAGAAGTGGGCATGTGTGAGGAAGTCCCGGTTCGGTAAGTTTTCGATGAGATTGAGGTGTACAGAGAAGAAGTTGCACAGGAACAGCGCTAAGTTCTGGATAAACTCTTGATCTTTCGAATTACTGGAGCTGTACGTAGACTTCAAATCCAGCGATAGGGGAATAATTTCCGAAATGGTAGTTAAGACCTCAGTGAACATCTGCACCTGTTTCTCGTCGTACAGGCCATGGCCCTCGGTCTTCAAACCACCGATTTCCGTGAGGCCCTTCAGTGTAATATTTCGGAACTCAGGTGTCTTCAGGAATCGAGTACGGAGGGTGTCGATAATCGGCGTCTCGAAAATATAGCCCAAGGGGATCCAGTTGAAGAATCGAAGGAGCGTCTCGAGGGTTGCCTTAATGAGACTAGGTTGGTTGGCGGTAGTCAAAACCTCGTTGCACAGCGAGAAAATCGATGAGAACTCGAGGCACATGGTGCTTTTTAGGTTCTTGGTCTTCGTAGATGTCATGGCATCGGCCGAATAGTCGAACACTTCTTCTGAAAGCAAGCGCAGTATAGACATGTTGTTCTCGCAGATCGACAGGCTCGTGCGGCAGGACGAAACGATCTCGTTGATAAACGTAGGCCAGTTGTGAGGCCATTCTTGCTTGAGGATAGAAACGAGGACGAGGTTGAGCTTGTTGAGAAGGGTCCGCTGTGTCTTCAAAGACTCCTCCGACGAGGAGCATTGGATGATGTAGTTAACCACAAAGTTGCGGATACCTGGGCACAGTCAGCATCAAGCTGAATGAAAGACCAGTAGAGAAGGCAAACCTTGACACTGCTCCTTTGGCAGGACCTTCCAACGCGTCATAATCACATTGTCGAGCACCTGTAAGCCAAGGTCTGTATCCGTTAGCCGCGCCCTGCTATAGCTCCATCACAAGGGGCCCGGGACGTACACTTTGTCTGTGGGTATGAGGCCTCTTGAAGTATCTTATCAACAAGCAGCCAAGCATCTTGATCTTCTTTGAACTATGACGGGATATTAGCTGTTGGCCGAAGCTCCATGAGGCGGGGGTCGGTTTACCTGGTTCATCGTAGCCTGAGCAGCTTTTTGCTATTCATCAGTGAATTAGTAATTATTTCATGACGATTATGAGTGCCAGGAGATGCCTGCTAACTAACCTGCTCTCCTCGGCCTTCATAGAAGGTTCGGACGGTCGCGTCCAGCTCGGCGATGGATAGCGCCATGGCGTCAACGATTCGACGACTGTCGTGGTGGTATTCGCAGATGAGCTTAAGATGTTGCCAGCTCTAAAAGTAAAGATTTCGGTGCAGCTTGCGCTGGAAGGATCCTATAGTGAAAGAGAGATGCGGCTGTGGTCATTAATCCTGGTGAAGTTGGGAAGGTCCTTGATGGTGGGGCAAGGCTGGCAGTTTGTTCACCAAGCGAAGTGTTTTAGAGGGTGGAGGTGATTACATATAATGCCTGCAATTCCGGGGTGGAAGAACTATAAGCTCTTTGGGGTCTGCACGACGATTCTAACAACCAGTCTTCTGGGTACGGTATTTATATGATATTAATATCACCGTTGGTTTAATTAACAGCTATTTACTATATTACGGAACAGCTAAACCTGAGGGTGTCAGATGACGATTTGCCGATATCTAATCCACAGGCTGCCCACTCAACAACCCGTTGGTTCCCTTGGCAACAAAATATCACGGGTAGACATACAGTATCGTAGTAATAACTTCTATCAAATCCGCCTCGAGGGCATTAATTACTCTATTCTAGAGATCGGTTGATAATATTCATACGCTACATCTCCATCTGTTATCCTCATACCTTATGTTCTTCCACGGCCTCCTTGTCATTCGAACTTACGGCGCCATAAACACGGAGAGGCACCGCAATCTCGAAACTCTCACAGTTTAACGTTTCTGCTGCTGCTAAGACAGCACCACGATCATCCCGCGAAACCTCTTCCAGCAATTCCGAGTCGTAAGTAGGGTTCCCCTCCTTCGTGCGATCGACACGTGGAGTTACAAACTCAATTAGAATCTTCCAATCCAGGGACACGCCACTGGTGATGAAGCTTGGTGTTGAAGCTACGGGTATCGATGGCGAGAACACGATTCTTCTCGCAAATAATGCTGATTCTGAGTGCGACGCGTGCGTTTTGCGGGTGACACGGTTTATGCTCGCGTCTGACCGCAACGCTATCGACTGATCTACCTTTTCAGATGATTCTAGCGACGCATGCACGGCGTAGCATGCGATTTCTGCATCGGCGAACTCAATAATAGCGGTGACGGTCTCTCCAAGGCGATATGCTGGTCGAGCAAGCATGACAACGGCAATCCTTTGACCGCCCCGAGCGATCTCGAAACGATTTGCACTCTGCTGCATGTCCGTTGCAAGATTACTTCGTAGTATCGCCATGTCTATAGCTTCTTTTGCGGACGCAGGTCCTGGTATACTTGAGAGTCGACGTCGTTGCAAATTTGCTGTTGGAGAGAGGAGCAAAAGGTCTGGTTGCTGGCGAGGCGTTGTTAATAGGTCATCTACATAAGAGAGAAACTCATCGTGTGATGATTGGGCTTTCTTATTTGCCACCGTTGTTTTGGATGATTGTTCCACAGCGCCAGTTGCCCGATCTGAAATAGACCGAATAGATGCTTGGTCTTTTAAGATTATATATGGTGACATGAGATCGTGACCAAGGAGTTCGCCACGATCATTCACACTCCCAAGTACCCTGAATGGCACTTCCACCGACTTTATTTGCTGTTCTTTTGAACCTCCGGGCCTCTGGGTTCCGAGGACTAGCTGGTAAGATATTTTGATGGCCCTTCCTCGATGCGTGGGCGGTAGCCCTCTGGGCAATTTAAATTTGTACTGAAAAGACTTTGATTCCCCGGGCGCCAATCTCAAGTCAACAAAAAGAATGGACTGAGGAGTCGACAAAAGAGGGACCGGTCGTGAGTTAGCAATTCCTCGCATATCTCTGATACTACTGAGGTCGCTTCCACCCAGGAGACCACCTAGAGATTCGGTGATATTGCCCCAGCCAAATCCGCGGAGCAAACCGCTTTCTCTCTTGTTTTTTTCGATGCCAATCACGCCACCTCCTTGGCCACCAACGACCCCTTTCCTCTTGACTTCCTCAAATGGTTCCTGGTCGATCAAGGAGCCATCAAGAGTAAAAGACCCTTGAATTTGTGCATAACCCATCATGAGACTCTCAACTGTAGGCCGGTACTGGCTTACGTCAGAGACTGCTGAAACCTGGCGAGCATGGTCTGAACGTGACCCAAGGAGCCCTGCGCGTGGAGCAATATATTCGGACGCTAATGTTTCGGTTGAATTGTTACTCAGAGAGTAAAACTCGCCACTGCTCCTGGGTGTCTCGCCGTTGTTGTTCATAGGCGAGAGAATTCGAGCCGAGAGAGTGGTTGGGTCCCGTCCAGGAGGCATATCATCTTTGGATGGAGGGTAAAGGAGACTATTGGACGCTTTTGGGCTATGGATATACCCATTCTGATCATTCTCTGTAGGTTCCAGCGGCGACTGTTCATCAGCTCCTGGACCACTGGTGGCCGGGAATCGAAAGGTAGTATTAGGAAACTTAAAGCCTTGTTGGGAAGGTGATGCAGATGCTTGTCTTCTGGCAGGCCTAAATCCTTGTGCAGCAGGTGCGCTCGAAGATGTTAGCGTGTCCAGGCTGTTGGTAGACTTTCTATGCGGTCCAAGTTCGCCTCGCAAAGTCGATATGTCCGATAATGAATGGTTCTGGAACAGCGGTGACGGCTGAGTTGCCGACCTATTGGGCGGAGCTGATGCTGATGCTGATTTAGGACCATTGCCATTTGGATACGGCCGACGAGGCACAATCTGCAAACTGGCTGCCCTCCCATGCCGCCTGTATGGAACCCGGGGCGGTTCATTTGAATTTGAGCCTGAGATATCACTGCGGGCGGTATCATTCGCTCCTAAGGATATGATTGAAACGGATCGTCGGTGGCTATGGCCTTTACTTCGGGGGGCGGCGTCGGAGCTATTGTCGTTTCCTGGACGTGTTTCGGGCTGTTGGAAATTTCCTAGCGCTGGAACATTCAGAGATAATGCGGAACGATGCCCACGTTTGTTGGGTAAGGAGAGTGAATTCGAGACATTGCTGGCTCTTCCCCGCCCATCTGATATTTGTGAGGAGGTGGTTGTCTTTGTCTTTCGGTGCCGTTCTCCCAACGGAGACGGTCCATGGGTTCCAGAGGGGTTCGCCGGTATGCGTTGGATCCCTGGTATGGCGGCAATATTCTTAAATGTTATCTTGCATCCGACTTCCTCGCCTGCAAATACTGTCGATTGTGACCACTCTACGCAGACTCGAATGTTTGAAGTCGGCGGAGGCATCTTAGGGGTCTGTTTAAGATCGCTCCTTCCACTCGAAGGAGCTTTGTGACGGCGCTCATGGATGCAATTGGAGGCGCGCTGGATTTAATTGATAAATTAACATAGTTATATTATTCAAGAAATTATGAATAATGGGACGCAGGAAGGGACGCAACCATTGTTAAAGAGGCCAAAGGGAACCCTCATGAGGTACGAGCGGACAAGCTCGAGTGGTTTGTGCCTAATATATTAGGCACAAGGGACGACCCTTGTCTATCGTACGTAGTATGATTGTTGCTCTGTCCGGCAGGGTTCACAAGTAAACAGACCTGCAACTCACCCACGTCCGCTCACATATCCAAGAACGAAGGACTCGAGGTTTCTATTTGCTCAAGGTATTTAACTCCCCTCTTAATTGTTTACCCAACTTTTACGTCTTTATCTTCCTTTGCTCTTGAGTGAGCTTGTTTAATTATCGAATTGTTGTGCTAACGGCTGGGGTGTTAGATTCGGGGCTCACCCCACCAAGCGGGCAACCAAGATGACTTCCTTCATTACCACCGTGTCAGTACTACCCTAGCATTTAAATGTGCTCTTCTATATCTATATTTGCTACTCGAAGTCTATTTTATATTTTCAACCAAGCACTTGTCTGAGAGAGTGGTGCGAAATACTGGCTGGAGCTATTTTTCTCAGGCCCTGAAGCTGCTGTATATATTTCTCCTAGCTGACATAAAGAGACTTGTAGTAACCAAAGAACCCGAAACCAGTTCAGACCAAGGAACGCAACGAAGGGAACGAGTAGTTACCAACTACGTCAGTATGCCGAAGCAACCCTGGGAGGTGGCAGCCTTCGGAAGATCGTAAAGCTTCCAGAGGGGGAGGATGAGAACGAATGGCTTGCAGTTAACAGTATGTTGTCATGCGCCCCTTGATATTGCAAATAATATGAGACTAATTCCTCACGTAGTGGTCGATTTCTATAACCACATCAATCTACTCTATGGGTCGATAACAGAGTTCTGCTCTCCACAGTCTTGCCCAGAGATGAAAGCCACAGACGAGTGAATATGCCGATAAAGACAGGCTTATAATAATGCTGACGAGAGACAGATTCGAATACCTCTGGCAAGACTCTGAGAACTATAAACGGCCAACCAAGATGCCAGCCCCGACCTACATCGAACATCTGATGGTGTGGGTTCAGAGTAACATCGACAACGAAGCAGTATTCCCAAGCCGTATTGGTGAGTGTATCTATTTTGGCATATTTAGAAATGCAGCTGCTAATAGTTCCAGGTGTCCCGTTCCCAAAGTCGTTCCCATCGATGATTCGACAGGTTTTCAAGAGGATGTACCGAGTGTATGCACACATATATTGCCACCACTACCCTGTCGTGAGAGAGTTGGGCTTAGAAGCTCATTTGAACACAAGCTTCAAGCACTACGTGCTTTTTATTGATGAGCACAACCTAGCTAGCGGCAAGGATTTCTGGGGTCCACTCGGTGACCTGGTCGAGAGTATGCTCAGGAGTGATTAGGACAGCAGGGCAGAATGGAGTTATGAGGAAGGGTAGACAGGGAATTATGGCGTTTACAGGAGGGGTGGCTGGCGTATTAGCAGAATGAGCTGTTCATGATCCGCGGTGGATAACATGCTCTCTCATTTGACCAGGAGAATTTATAGCGCAATGGGAGACCGTTGTGATCCATGCGGACAACTTCAGTTCTCTCCTGTAGTTTCTGCATCAATTAGCGGTTGAACAACACAATTCACGTAGCATCCGCGTGCTCTTCAGTGTTTTCTGATACTAAATTCATATTAATTGTGATGTCTGGACCCTCGCCAAGCCCCTGTTCCCAATTAGACCTAGCGCGTCAATGCGGCTTGGGACCGGACGCCAAGACCTCGAAAACCTAGGTGTAGCCGGACGACAGCCATCGAATCTCTTTCCGACGACTACTTCCACCCCACGCAGGCACTCAATTGCACTCATCAAGATGAACGTTTCAAGGGCATTTGTTCGGGCTGCGAACACCTCAGCAACACGCGTGACAATTGCGCGCAGAGCCGCCGCTCAGCCGGCAATCCGCTCGTACGCAACTCCAGCCTCCAGCGCCGACACCAAGCCTCCTGTCGCCCTCTATGGCCTCGATGGCACCTATGCCAGTGCTCTGGTACGTCAATTCATCTCTATAACACCATACCGATGAACCGATGGCTGGCCATGGCAATCACCCGGCTGCCTGATGGCCCATAATGCATGTGACGATGTGCTGACATTTACCTCTCATAGTACACTGCTGCCGTGAAATCGCAGTCTCTCGATACCGTGGCCAAGGCCCTCAGCGCCCTCCAGGAGGTCTACGTCAAGGACCCAAAGCTCTCCAGCATCATGCAGGCACCTACCCTCACCTCCGAGGACAAGTCCGCCATCATCGCTGAGCTCCAGAAGCACACCGGCGGCCAGGACAAGGCCGACACCGTCAAGAACTTCCTCAACACTCTCGCCGAGAACAACCGCCTGGCTCTCCTCGAGGGTGTCTGCACCAAGTTCGGCGAGCTGATGGGTGCCGCCAGAGGCGAGATTGAGCTTACCGTCACCAGCGCTACTGTATGTTGCCCCTTCTCGATAAAATTACGGGTGGATCTAAACTGACTGGAATACTAGCCTCTCGACAACAAGACCCTCACCCGCCTCGAGTCTGCCGTTGCCAAGTCCCAGTACGTTGGCCAGGGCAAGAAGCTTAAGGTCACCAACAAGGTCAACTCCGATATCCTCGGCGGCCTCGTTGTTGAGATCGGCGACCGCACCATCGACCTCAGCGTTTCATCCCGCATCTCGAAGATGAACAAGCTGCTCACTGATACTTTGTAAATGGCCTGGTCAGACGGAAGATAGAGTTAGAATGTTTTGGGGAACGGGAGAGGTGTATCAATAGACTAGCTGCGACCTAGGTTGAGATGCAACAATGTATATGAAAATCGAGAGCTTTAATCTACTTGTTCCATCTATTATTACGTGGAAGAAAGTTGTTCTTTTACACTTTTGTGTCATGGTTTTATTTTGCTCTGGTGAAGCTTGTATCCGGTGGCAGGTCAGTGACATCGAATTAAAAAACAGGCCAAATAGTGCGGATTATATATATTTTATTACTCCGATACGGCCGACATAGTTGACTACAGCTCATAGTTGGGACTCGCCCTGTCCAGTTTGTCACCTCTTAACGCCATCCACATAAAATGCCTCCAATGCCATGCTTCCCTCAACGCCCAAATTAAAATGCCAGTTTCAGTCACCCTACATCAGCTCGACGGGCGGTCTCGAAGTGTGGGCCAGAATCGGCCTATCGATATCCATATCACTGCTCGACTCAGGCTCGTCGGTGAAATCCTCAACCGCGATGGCTGGCAACGCAGGGCTATCGCCGTGGTCTTGCGGGTGATAGATCATTGTGGTGCTGCCACTTCGTTTCCGGCCCTCGCCATCAGTTTCACTCAATGGAGATGATGGGAGATCAGTGTTCGGTCTGTGGTGTAGCTTTGCAAGCGCCTCTGCCAAATCCTCTGCGTGGACCTGCTTGTTCGGTGCGTCTTCAAGCTTCACCTCCCAGCCGTGTGGTGGGGATGGCGGAGGAGAGATGAAGAAGAGCTTGCCTGCGTCCGGCAGGGGTAGGTGTTCGTCTTTTGCCTCTATGGATGTTGGCTGGCCGAAATACACCCTCACATTCTCGCCCATAATGGACTCGCCATCGAGGATCTGTCTTATGCGGATTGCTGACTCCTCTTCAAAGAAGGATACGATGATGCGGCGGAAGGATTTGAGAGGTGCCCAAGAGTGAATTGGTGCTGAGGAGTTGATAAGGTCTCTGATGGTTTGGAGGTTATCGGGTCGGAATATTTCTAGGTCGTTCAGGTTTGTGATAATGAGGGTGTTGGATGGAGGAGTAGGCTGCTGGAGAGCCGGGACTGCGGAGATATCGAGGCTGAGAGGGGTGCGTGGGCGAGAGGATGCCCGCGAGGACTCTGGACTTGACTGGGTCGCCATGGTGCTTGTAGTGTAGATGTTGTGTTATAGTGTGGTGAGAGTAGTAGTCCTAGTCAGGCTGGTATGATGGTTTATTCGTGGTTTGTTTGTAGGGATTTGCTTCTGTTGTCTAGATCTTAGATCCGATTTCTGAAGGTGTTGACTGAAGGTGGGCGAAGAAGAGTGAATATATACGAGGGTGGTGTGTGTGGATGAGGTCCGTCAGCGCTCCGTCCTTCCGTTTTGGCTTTCTTTACGGCTTTTGGGTAACCAATCTCTGCTTGGCGGTGTCTGAAGTCCAAGAAGCCGCAGCAAATTGTTGAGGATCGAGTCAAGGAGGACGGCGGGGGCGGTGGCAAGTGGTCGGCGACAGCGAAACCGAAGCAAGCGTCATGGGCCTGTGGTGGGCTGCTGCGCCCCCCGCCATACTCTAAGGTAGACTCGTACACGGCGCCAAGTCACGGGACTAACACCAACCAGATACAGGTACAGCATCCAGTAGTAGTAAAAGAAAATTATGTCTTACAATGAACACCTCTAGTTAATTACATGTGAAAGTAGAAAGACAACTTGTTCTTAATTTTTTGTATGCTCTACGCTTCCTCTGTACTATCATCATCTCTTTGAAAAAGAGTAGTATGAGTGAAAGGTGCTGCAGAGTGAATTTAAACACGTGACAGTGACATTTAACGTGCAAAGGAACGTGCACGCGCCTAGGCTAGGCACAACCTAGACGCCTATCCGTTGCGGCGCATTCGTGCACAACCACTGCACACGAGACAAGGGTCAGCACGGAGCCTGAGATCACCCCATCAAATCGTGCACACCCTTGTTCAGTCGGCGCAGCTTCATAATTACTCTTCACGATATCAACACCCATTAGGACTCCACTATCCCACCCCACACGACAGCAACTGACGACGACTGCGGCAGCCACAGTTGCAAAGCCACCGGATCTTCCATCACCCATACCTGCGGCCCTGATCCACCCCTCAGCTTCCCTTGTCGCGTCTTTCAAACCTTGTGGTCGCAAGACGCAGGTGTCGGCGGAGGCTTTGTAGGCTTGCGACTCTGCATAGCTTCACTTGCTCCAACCATCCCGTTTAGTCTTTTGCTCCAGCCCCCGCGCGCACAGGCAAGATGGATTACGATCCCATGAATCTGGATGAGGCCGTTGGACCACAGGTCAAGATATCCGACGTAAGCATCCTCCCCGCTGGCTGTCGCCCCATCTGCGCCGCAACTGCTGACTCGGAAACCTAGGCCGATAATCTGAGGGTGGACTTCGAGCTCTCCAACGTTGACCTGTCCTTCGCCAACTCCCTTCGTCGTGTCATCCTGGCGGAAGTGCCCACTATGGCCATCGATCTTGTAGAAGTGGAGGCAAATACCTCTGTCCTCGCCGATGAATTCTTAGCTCACCGTCTCGGCCTCATCCCACTCAACTCGAAGAATGTCGCAGATGTGAATTACTCTCGGGATTGCGAATGCGAGCAATACTGCGAGCAATGCAGCGTCACTCTGTTCCTCAACGCGAAATGCGACAGCGACGAAATCATGAAAGTTTACGCCCGAGACCTGGTGGTTGACTCGCTCAAGGCTAATGCTTGGGTGGGGAATCCTATCTTTACGGATGAGGGGGGCAATGGACCAGTGATATGCAAGCTCAGGAAGGGGCAAGAACTGAAGATGAAGTGCATTGCTAAGAAGGGAATTGCGAAAGAGCATGCAAAGTGGGCACCAACCGCCGCGGTTGGATTCGAGTATGATCCTCATAACAAATTGCGCCATATGGATCTTTGGTTCGAAGAGGATCCAGCTAAGGAGTGGTATGTTTCCGCCACTGCACGGGATGATCCATGAGGTAGCAAAATCTAACATAGATATAGGCCGAAATCTAAATACGCCGACTGGGAGGAGCCAGCTCAAGAAGGCGAGCCTTTCGATTACGATGCCGTACCTGGTAGCTTTTATTTCGAGCTCGAGAGCGCAGGGAATTTGGAGCCAGATGCCGTTGTCCAGGAAGGCATAAAGGTCCTTCAACAGAAGCTGGCAACTATTATCGCGGGATTGAGTGATGGCGGTGGCATGGAGAATGGAATGAACGGAGGCGACTCATTTGCACCTCGTAGCCCAGAATTTGCTGGTGGTAACGCTGGTTGGGGTGATGCAGGTTATACGACGCCGTATGGTAATGGAGGAAATGCGAGCGCATGGGGAGGGCAGGGTGCTGCTACTCCATATGGAGCGACCCCCTATGGGCAGCCAGCAGCGCCGAGTGGGTGGGACTGATGAGGTTCAGTAGCGAAGTTGCTACCAATTTGGTAACCTGCTAAGAGAAAGGGGTAATTAGCCACGGGGGCAGAGTAACCTCAACTGGGCCATCTTTTGCAGAGAGCCTGCAACAGGCCAGAGGCCGCTTTACTACATTGTACCAACAGTTCCAAGACTCATTGCATGGACAGCGGGCGTCAAAAAGGTTATTTATTGGACGCGTATGAAGCGGATCCAAGGTGCTACTTTAAGTGCACGTCGATTAGGAGCAATAGGCACATAATATATCATATTTTGATGTCTATTAAAGAAACATGTCTACTATATCTGTTTAATATAGTGCCCCTTGATGTCTATACAAAAGAATCTACACTAACGCCGATATATGCAATGCGTGTGGTGTGGCCACTAAACTCTAAGCCTCTCTTTCAGACCCGACGCCAAACCATCTGTGTAAATAATACAGGAGTGTGGCCTGCGGCCACCCTTTCTCTTCACCACCATCATTATGCAAGGTTCACATCGTCGAGCCCCTTGGCCTTTCGATAGATCTTCTTGTGCTGTTCCAAGAACAAGAACGTCGCAATAGTATGTGGGCCCAGACGTATAAAACTTGGGACCCACCCGCGGAACATCCACTTGACTCCCTCAGCCTTACACACATCCTTCAGCAGCTTCCCCACGCCCTTACTCTCGGTCGATGACATAATACGGGTCTTGATCACATCCACCGGAGAGCACACCGTCGTGGCCACGAAACCAGCCATAAAGGACGCTGTGAAATGCGTGGTCAGGTTATCCGTAAGAGGGGTATGCACAATCAAGGCTTGCTTGAAAGCGTCGTATGAGGCGAGTTGCGATGCTGTCATGAGAACAGCACGCATGCTGTTGGGCCAGACGCCGCGGAATAGGGATTTCCATCCTTCTTCGCGGGTCATCCGGACCAGGCCGTCGATGGCGTTTTTGTAGTTTCTGCGCTCAGCAGGTGGGAGTGCCGCGTCGTGCTGCATGCGAACGTTCAGGACATCGGCAGGGTTTCCTGCAAAGCCACCAAGGAATCCAGAAGCAGAGGCGATGGCTAATAGTACAGGGAAGGAGGGCGTCGATGTTGGGGTTGTAGCGGCGGCCTTAAGCTCCTCGTAAACGCCGAAACGGGTTGTTGAGTAGGTGATTTGTCGGAGGAGGGATGCTGATAGACCGCGGTAAAGTCCTGGGAAACCATCACTTTTTACGACGTGGCTAAACGTCGCTATCATGGTAGTTGGGGCATTGGCGCTGCGAGTTTGGAGGCGGACCTTGACTTGGAGTTAGATTGGGGGGTTTCCGAAGACTGAGGTTCTGAGTTTCGCGCATTAACGTCGCATATGACATACCTTAACTATCGAGAAATTAGCACATAAATATATATAAACAATTCCAGGTCAACTTACCAAGATCCAGTGGATGAGTTACACATGCGGCGAAACAACTCGCGCTGCCTCCAAACCAGAATGGGTAGCGAATATGGGCTCTATCCCACGCCTGCTTCCGCGACAGCTCTTGCTTCGCCTGGTTTGCCTTGGAGGACGTCATACTGCCAATTGATTCACGCGAGGCATTCCGTATATTTCTCTAATCGGTGTGGGGGTGAAAACAGTAGTCCTCTCCGTATCATCCCTATATAGAGTTCGCAGTAGCAAATCTCGAATATTTTCAGATTCGAAATCAGCCACACTACGTCAGTCAAGGCACCGCCAATCCTCCGTCTCGCTCGGCTTAATATTTCCGATCGGCTCTCGGGTCCCCTAAATTAATTCAAGGCCGGTCTCGGATAAACGTTATCGCGATAACGTAGAAACGTCAATCGTAGATATTATATTGTTATACCTATCCTCCAGACAATACTCGTAGTGATTGGACGTTCATGGTCTGTTGAAGGTCAAGCCATGCGGCCTAATTCGGTAACCAGGTCGCCAATACGTGCCGGCAGTGATGTGCTATCCATTCTCATAGGGCTGGGAGCCACAGCAAGTAGATCTAGTGCCAATGTGTGTTTGGGGCGTAGGCGCATCGCAACTGGTATATTTTATTCCTCTGTCTGCCTTGACTTCAATATACTAATTGGCTTTACTTCTAGATGCAGCACCTACCCCACTCCCACAAGCCCCCAAAATACCTGCAACCGTTGAAATTGGCGGAAAGAAATACCAAACAGACGAGTGGCACAATGTCCCATCGACAATCAATACCGCGGTTGGGCGCCAGCTGCACCTGCAAAAGGACCACCCTATCTCCATAACCCGCCAAATAATCGAATCGGTATTTCCTGCTCCTACCTACAAATACCATAACAATCTCTTTCCAGTCGTAACGACACACCAAAACTTCGATTCGCTCGAATTCGCCCAAGACCATCCAGGCCGGAGCAGGACGGACACTTACTATGTCAACAAAGATACCGTGTTGCGTACCCACACCAGCGCGCACCAAGCAGATACCTTTCGCCGGAATGAAAGCGAAGGGTTTCTCGTAAGTGCGGATGTGTACAGACGAGATGCGATCGATCGCAGCCATTATCCGATTTTCCACCAAATGGAAGGTGCCCGCATGTGGGATAGGACAAAGGTTCCGGGAGGTGACATAGCCAAAGCAGTTTGGGAAGATATTGCAAAACTACCCACACACGACATGAAAGTCGAAGATCCAAACCCGCCCCATCACGCAGAGAGGAATCCTTTACAAGCTCCTCACAGCGCCGCCGAGTCGGAGGCCATCTCTGCTCATTTGAAGAGATCGTTGGAGTTGATGGTTGCGGAGATTTTCTCTCGGGCAAGAGCATCCAGCGGAAACGCTGATGCTGTCTCAACGGCGGAACCGCTCAGAATCCGTTGGGTAGAGGCTTTCTTTCCATTTACGAGTCCTTCATGGGAACTTGAGGTTTTCTGGCAGGGTGACTGGTTGGAGGTTCTTGGCTCGGGCGTCATCAACCAGAAGATCTTCACAAACTCAGGCGTGCCTGATCAACTCGGATGGGCGTTCGGCATCGGACTCGAACGGATAGCGATGCTTCTATTTGAGATCCCTGATATTCGGTTGTTCTGGTCGAGAGACGAGAGATTTCTCGGACAGTTCAAGGGGGTCACGGATGATCTAACACTCATGAAGAGATTCGTTCCGTTTTCTAAACATCCAGCTTGCTATAAAGATGTAGCATTCTGGCTGCGATCTACTTCATCTGCTGCAGGCGGCGGGACAAAAATGAACAGCCAAGATTTCCACGAGAATGATATGATGGAAATTTTGAGAGATATTGCAGGTGATACAGTGGAAGACGTCAAGGCTATCGATGAGTTCACCCATCCTAAAACAGGAAGGAAGAGTCTATGTTACAGGATCAATTACAGGAGCCTGGAGAGGACATTGACAAACGACGAGGCCAACAAGTACCATGATCGGGTTAGAAAGGAGCTGGTGGAGAGGTTTGGAGTTGAGCTGAGGTAGTTGAAACTCTCCTATCGATACCAAGACAAAATAGGGGGAGAGCAAAGCATATTTTGCCCCCTTACCTTGTAAAATAAATAAATGTAATCAATATCATGTACAAGTAATCTTACATTGTATACATTAATAATTTGTTTATTATTTGTTAATATTGCCAAGTTCATTTTTTGCGACTCATGTCGAACATAACGTAACGCCAACAAACTCACGGGACTCGGCATTTCCTCGGTTTACATAACCCCCTGCCATGCCATTCCACGCCAAGACCGCTAATTAGTTTCTGTCCATCATGGCCGCGAATAAATTCCAGAAAGCACCTTCATCATTCAAAACATAACCAAAAACAACCATGATTCAACGAATTCTCCTCCAACAAGTCAGGTCGACAGCAGTGCGGACGGCACCGAAGCCGTTTCTTGCAGGATCCTTAATTAGGTCCTCGCAGTATGTTGCGCAAAGCCCACGGTTAGCACTATCCGCGAGATGCTACGCAACCAACGGAGAGGCCAGTAAGGCAGCTGAAGAGGGCGCTGCAGCACCAGAGGATGCCGCCGCAAAAGATCTTGAGGCCAAAAACAAGGAGATTGTAGAGCTCAAGGTATGTCGCTACAGGCTGTTCGCCTCCGCGTTCTCTTCACCTAGTGAATTTGCTAACCATTTTTCCGTAGGATAAATACCTGAGATCTGTCGCCGATTACCGCAACCTCCAAGAGCGCACAAAGCGAGAGATCCAGTCCGCAAAGGACTTCGCCATCCAAAAGTTCGCCAAGGATTTAGTCGAGAGTGTCGACAACCTGGACAGAGCTCTGACGATGGTTCCAGAAGAGAAGCTATCTCCGATCGAAAAGAACGAGCACGTGAACGATTTAATCAGCCTTTACGATGGCCTGAAGATGACCGAGGGTATTATGATGCAGACACTTCTTAAGCACGGACTTGAGCGCATCAACCCGGCGGTGGAGGAGAAGTTCGACCCCAACTTCATGGAGGCGATGTTTATGTCGCCAATGGCTGGAAAGGAGGATAACACCGTGTTGTTGACTCAACGTAAGGGATGGAAGTTGAACGGCCGCACCATGCGTGCCGCACAAGTCGGGGTCGTGAGAAACACCTGAGCGCGGAGCCCAGTAACCCAACAAACTCTTTAACGCCATCTGGAGTGTACTTTTATTGTATATCAGGCTTGGAATGATGGATGGCGTTTTCTTATGAATGTATATATATCCCTCCCCTCTTAGCGGCATCCAAGGAGTGCGTTGGACTCGGATCAATTGGTGGGACGGCATGTTTTATTATTGTACAATGAACCTAAAGGGGTATGACAAGTTTGCGGAATCCGCCCCGTCATAATAGAAGCATAAAATACTAGACGGTATTGAGGCCCAATGAGAACTTTGGTGACAACTTCCTTTTTTGCCCAAAAACGAATAGCCGCTGCTGGTACCAAATCCCAACGATGTCCCACGAGGGCTAGTCAGTATTCCATATCCAAATATTCCCTCTTGTGCCTCCTTCGTGTGTACCTGCTCTCGTCCAGAATCTCAGCCAGAACAAGGACCAAAATTTCAGACCACGGCCGATCTTTCGTCGTTCTCCGAATTCTGATCGAGGTCTTGTAGTTCGCTAACGAGTTTAGCATTGACATCACGCAGTTCGTCGAGCTCATCCCCCCATGCTTTGGCCATATTCACAGCTCTCGCGGTCTGTTGGCGGAGGTGCTCTCTCCACTCGCCCAGTAACTGATCCGCCCGAGCACGACGTTTCGGAATGGTCATCTCATAGCGTCGAGCGCAAATCATCTCCCCCAACCGAGTGATTGTATCCCTTGCTGAGTTCAATTGCAACATCTTTTCCGTCGCCTTCCCCACCTCGACATCCCGCTCTGCCAGGAGATTCTGGAACTCCATCTGGATGACATCGATTCTATGCATTCCGAGCTCCCTGTTCCCGTCCCCAAGAGCGTCTGCTAGTTGCTACTGGCCTGGATTAGTCGATTTGATGTTAATATTCATAGTGCCCACTCACATCTGTGGTAATTTCTGTTTCTGGCGATGCCTTTGTAGATAGGTCAATGCCGCCATCATGAAATGCTTCGCGAGCAAGCACTACATTGAACTCTGGCAACATATGATAGAACATGCCGGGTACGTTGGTCAAGTTAACCCCTGCACTGATGTCAGTTGTGTTCCTTCTCCAAATACTCGTGCCGCCCAAAGTCTGTGGAAGGACTGTGTATAGCCCAGCGTCGATGCCAGCAACTTAATCCAATGTAGTTTATCACTTTGGATTTATCATAGTTGCTGTCAACACTACTGCTGCGCACAGCCTCTCCCAGGACTTTTGAGCGGCACGAGTATCCACAAGTCTAGCAGCTTACCTCGTGATGACATCAGTGGGCTAGGATACTCATCGACTGAATATGCCGGGGAAATCGTACCACCAAATTCTTGATCGAATTGCGGCTTCAAGGCAGACCATACCAACGGCCTATGGTTTCCTGGCGGCTTTGCTCCCTTCAGCTCTTCCTGTCTAGCCCGTTCCACAACTTCCCCTTCGATTTCGGCTATGTTGAGTCTCCCCTTCTGTTGTGCTCCAGCTGCCCATTTCATAAATGTGGCTGGGCTGATGCGGTTATCCAACGGGTTTCCTTCGTTGTCTCGCTCGGGATCCTCGTTATTATCAACATCTAGAAGGAAGTGAGTGTAGTATTCCTCCAATTCCATATTGTTCATAACATTCGATATGAGAGGATCATGGAAGCCCGGCACTCGAGGTGAGTAACCGTTGACTCCGTTGAGGGCATTTAGGATGTCTGTCTTACAATCCGGGTCTGCGACCTGACCATTGATCTTCACGTACCCAATTTGGCTCAGTCTCTCAGAGAAGGTTCTCACCCTTGGTTCTCTGGCACCCTCAAGGTCTGGAGTTGGAGCTTCCTGCGGTCTCTTGGCCTCCTTGTCTTCATGGTCACTGGTTTATGTTAATTCAGAATTGTTGTTTGTATCTCACAGATCTCCTTACTAAGTTTCCCAAGGGATTGTTGGGCTAAGTTTTGGGTTGTCGTCTTCCGGCCTTAGTTCCCATGGCCTGTAGTTAAACCCTTCCTGATAAAGCGGTCCCCGTTCTCCTCGGCCCAGGCGTCCACGCATGAGTGCGTATGCATCCAGCATAGTCTTTGTCAGAGTTTGCTGCGTCCCCGATTCTGGCATCAAGTAAGGCGAGTTTTCTTCCTGACTGAAGGACCCAACTTGCGGGCTATCATACTGTCCAGGAGGGGGGTGTTCGAGACGGGAGCCACCCTCCAGTAATGTTTCTTCTGCTGGTATGATAAATCCGAGTCCACGTGGAGTAGAACCTTCACAGCCAATATATTCTCTATACATACAGTTGCTTGGTTTTCTCCGGGTTATTAACGCCATGGTCGCTACTCTACAGGCAAAGGCGATATGGAAGTTAACTGCAGATGAAGGCGATATGGAAGTCAACTGTAACTGAAGACAATATGGAAGTCAACTGTGGTTGAAGGCTAGATGGAAGTGAGCTCTGGTGAAAGGCGAAGCGGACATAAGTTTTGGCTGAAGGCAATATGGTAGTAAGCTGTGATTGAAAGTAATGTGTGAGCTAAAGGGTCAAACCATATTCCTTAGAGTAGATGACAAACGGGTTGGTTGGCCCCGCTAGAAATGGAGGCGAGCTGTAGAATAAAGAGCTATAGTTGAAAGGCACTTTCTCAGGCAATCCAGTGGAATTATCCTCCATCGATCAAGTTCGAATATGAACTCATACAACGAAAAGCAACAATATCAACAGTTCATGCACATTAATTCACACTTTATATCATAAAGAACAAACACGGGTACATCGCTGTGCTATGTAGCGTTGAAGAATTTGGGGATGGCACTTCCATTCCTAAAGCGGTATTATCGCTGATTGTATAACAAGTAACTAGTCCACCGGGCTCATCACAAATAACAGCCTCTTCACTACTTTCTCGCCTTTGTTTTGGCACCAGTGGCTTTGGGCTTGCTGGTTCGGGGTTTTTTGGGCTTGACTTCATCTTGGGAGTCATCTTCATTCCCGTCAGCGCAGTCATTTTTCTTAGATTTCTTCCCTGCTGGCTTCTTCCCTACTGCCTTCCTGGCTTTTGGTTTCTTGATATATTTATCTTTCGAAATATCCATGTCCTCGTCCTCGTTGTCGTCTGGAGTCTCAACTAGAACTTCGCCACTGTCGCTCTCCTCGATGGCCTCTTCTAGGTCCGGCATCTCCTTGGTGGCCTTAGCAGGAGCAACCACATTACTAGCTTTCATGAAAGGCATTGGGTGCGTGCGGCTATTGTATCTATTCAAGCCAAGTTAGTAAACAACTTCAAGTATGTAAGAGACGTGATGTAATATAGCTTACAGTCTAGTAAACGTTGACTTTGTCTGAGTCTCCAACGTTACCAATTCCTGTCGTTGAGGTCCAACCCCGAGTTCCATAATAGCATCAAAATCGTCTCGTGTTAGGAAATAGCTGTCCATCAAATCGATAACGTCGTCAACCGAATCTTTGCCCTCTGTCTCTAGCCGTTTGATAAGCTGAGTCCAGAGCGTGGGCAGGTATTGTTGCCGAATCTCATGCCTGTCTCCTGAAGTCCGAAGGCGCATGTGGGACTGGATTTCCTTAACAAAACGGCTGAGTTTGCCATGCTTGCTATTGTTCCCAAGCCAGGTTGTGAACGGCATTTCCCCGGTTACGGCGCCTGACATAAAGCTCGCAGGTCGAACTGAACTGAACACGGCATGTACAGGCATCAAGCTCCACTGTTGCTGAGAGCCGTGGATCATTCGATCAACAAGGTCACCATCACTAATACTTTCAGCTGCCTTGTCTGCTAGTTCTAGAGTTTTCAATCTCTGTTCTCTCGGCGACAAGTTTTGGTTTGGGGGCATTAGAGGCCTCGTTCTCAGATAGTTTTCCTGGATCATCAAGTAGCTAAACTCATGGTCGTTGAAGTAGAGTTCTATTTTGTCGTTGAGAGTAGATTTGCTTGAAGGTGCAAACATACCACTCCCCAATAACTTGTGACAGATGTCCCAGGGTTTTAAAACGATGTGCTTCTCCCATTGCTTCGACATAGATTTGGTTTGATCGAAATCCATGGCGGCCTGGTCTAGTTTGGCGCTGGATAGCATATTAACGACTTGTCTTATGTCCTTATTACTTCCCTCGATCAGTGCGTCCATAGCCTCCCTGGACAGTTTCAGCCCTTCTCTGTGGCAGATGGTCGCGACACGAGACCGGACCTGGTCGACCGTAGGCCGTCTGAACGGGACTTCGGCCACTACGTGACGGAATGGATTCATCTTCGGTATTCTGAACTCATTGCATATGAGAATGATGGGAATGTCGGTCTTCTTGCATATCTTAGCAAGTGCGCCTACTCCACCACGGTCACCGGCAGACATTCCATCTACCTCGTCCATGATAAGCACGATTTTCTTCTTTTTAGAGTCCACCGGCGCATCATGTCCTGCAAAGAAGCCCAGCAAGGAGTTGTTATTGAGTACATCCTGCAAACCGGACTCTACGAGCTTCTTGCTCCTTGTATCGCTGGCGTTGCTCTCTATAACGTCGTATCCCTCGAGTTTGGATGCAAGGTGAGCGGCTGTAGTTTTTCCAATTCCGGGAGGGCCGTAGATAACAATTGACCTATATATACCAAGGCCGTCTTTGCCGGGCAATTGAAAACCAAGTTTGTGAGCTTTAGGCCAGCCTTGTAACCAAGTCTGGATTTTATCGACCTGGCCTTTGTTGCCGCATATTTGATTCATCTTAGAAGGCGCGTATTTAACAGTCCATAACTGAGAGTTTGCAAGATTTTTATTCGCAGGTGGAGCAAGTCCCCGCGATTCAGCAGCTTTGCGTGCAGCCTTTTCAGCTTCAGCTGCTCTTATACGTTCCTGCCTCTCCTCTTCTTCTGCTTCAATTTTCATCTTCTTTTCGGCTTCTTTCTGTTTTTCCAGTGCCTTTTCAGCTGCTCGTGTTGTGCCTCCAGTTTGCGTCAAGTGCTCTGAGGTGGCACGAACCAGAGCGAAGAGCCCATCTTCATTGATTGTCTTTATTTTAAGGTTTGCAATCTTCTCCAGTTTACTTGGGCCAGCATCCGACCCAAGAACAACATAGCTCGTTTTTCCACTGGGTGCTCCAGTGACCTTTCCACCATATTTTTTGACTAGCTCCTGTCCCTCTTCGCGAGAAATTGTCTCGAGAAGGCCAGTGAAAACGAAAGTCAGTCCAGCCAGACAATTATCCGCTCCCACCGGCAACTCCTTTGAGCCAGCTCCTGGAGGTGGGCCCGCATTACCTCCGCCAGCGGCGGCCTTCCTCCAATTGAATTTCTCGCCATCTGCACTTTTCGATGGGGGAGGTGGAGCTTCCACGGTTGGAATACTGTCAAGTACTGCTTGCATCTCCGCGCTCTCGGGAATAACTTCTTTCTTTGGTGCAGCCCGAGGTTTTTTTGCAGGTGGCTTCTTCTCATCATTAATTTTCGATCCTTTCTTAGGTGCGTCGAACTCGTCAGAGTCATCCGGGTCTAGCGATGCTGACTTCCGCTTCCTACTTCTTGGTGCAGGCTTGCTGTTCTTGGACGCCTTGGTAACAACCACATCATCCTCGGAGTCGCCATCAATCTCCATGTAATCATCTTCCTCTTTCCGCCTCCCACCAGTATTCACTGCTGCAGCGAAAATATCATCTCCTGCATCGGGGTCGTCAATATCCACGTATGCCCCTCTGTCGTCGTCGTCCGCGTTCTTGTAGACCTTTCCTTGCGGCTTGCCCTTTAGCGGTTTTTGCTCCTCGAAGTTTGTAGTTGATAACTTTGTCTTTGGGCGTGGAGATAATGCCGTCAGTTTCATTGGATCTGGTGTGCTTTTTGCGATCTTCTTCGATCCACGCGACGACGCGAAATAATCACTAGTGGTGGTCTCTTCGCCTTTCGATGAGGTCTTATCCGAGGGCTTTTTTGGCACAGCTTTCTTTGGAGTGGCAATCTTCTTTACTTCATTTTCGTCTCCATCGCTTTCGTCTATAATTTTACGGGTTTGCTTCCGTCGTGAACTGGGAGCTTCAGCCTGTGGATGATGTTAGTTGAATACGATCCGATTCCGTGCACAATACGCTCAAAGAGATATGACGGCGCCATATAATTGCAATTACGCCGAGAAAGCAAGTCCCGTCGCAAGCACTGACACAGATAGACTATAATAACATAGAAATGCTACTGACCTTCTCCTTCTTTGGGGCTGGGACGGCTCCCTTACCACCAAAAAAGTTCCGTATATCTGCAGGCATGTTGGCCGTGCTGAGCCGTCTAGAACAGATTTGGAGTGATGCAATTGTCTAATTTGGCCAAATAGAGCTATATGCAACTCACATGCTCGTAGAGCTCTATCTTGCAATTGTTGACTTTGCCTGTAAGTAATTGGCCATGGAGATACTCGTAAAGTACGTGGTAGTCGCGATTTAATTAACGAGGGCGTCGGGGTAGGCGCGGAACGTACCAAGTCATGTGCCGACGCGTCAAAGGCAACCACTCCTACATGGGTACCAAGAGCCAGGGTAAGTTCCGTTTTAGCGCTATCCTTTTGGAACCTTTATTATTCTGCGGCTCAACTTCGACGACAAATTATAGGCCGAATTGGCTCAACGTCACAACCACCACTTGATAAATATGAAGGCCTCGATCTCATCAACACTCGCCTTATCAGCATGTGTTGAGCGCCTAACACTCAATTCGTCGGCCTATCGCCCTTCGATAATACCCAAGGCCATCTCCGCCCTCTCGAAAGCACCTGCGACCCCCTCCTCCTTTTTGACCTCATCCACAACCCGTAGAGCTTTCTCCAGTACGCCAGCCGTATTGGGGGACTGGCTTTTACCTACACAGCCCGAAAAGAAAAGATCTCGCAAGGGACGACCTCGTGTTCCGACTGGCGGGTCCTCTCGCGGCACTACCGTGGTCTGGGGCGACTATGGATTGCGGATGTGCGACCACCATCGCAGAGTTAGTGCGTTGCAGTTGAAGAACGGAGAAGAGGCTATAAAAGTCAGGCTGCGAGGGATGCGATATCGATTGTTCAAGAGAGTTTGTGCTAGCATTGGAGTGTATGCCAGTGGCAATGAGGTAGGGCATATATATCAAGGAATCGACGGGACCAATGCTAATATTAACCTGTTAGGTTCGCATGGGAAAAGGAAAGGGTTCGTTTGATCACTGGGCTTCGAGAATTGCGGTCAGCAAGGTCATCTTTGAGTTGAAGGGAGACATTCACGAGCAGGTGGCACGTGATGCATTCAGGCTGGCAGGGAACAAAATGCCGGGTAAGCCCTTCGCCGCTCAATTATTTAAATACTTGTATTGATAGTTGCTAACTACTGACATTAGGTATGTATGAGTTTGTGAAGAAGGGCGATCCTGCCGTTGTTGGAGTTACGAAGTTGGATGGCGTTACAATGGAGGAGTTGAAAAGGCCTCGACGAGCCGTCCCATTACCTATGCCATCTCCTGTATCCGCTGCCGAAGCAGTGCCGGAGGTTCCCAAGCCTACATCTTCCGCTGCATGATGACGGATGGATAGTGTATTAGTTTAGTTGTATATTATTAGAGTGTTGTCGGCATAGATATATATAAGTTCAGGTTTATCAACTGTTGGCCCTCCCCCCCAAAAGAACACCCCTCTATGACTAATTGTACATGTATAACCACAATATATAAACAGTTCCCGTTATTAGCGGCTTGTCTCCCTCATGGCACTCTTCATCCTCTTTTTCGCACCCTTCATACTCTTCCGGGGCCGACCTTTGACGTTGGAACTAGGGTTTTTTGGCCCTCCATTCAGCCAGCCGTTTATTGGCCTCCTCGATGCAATAAATTTGCCGTCAGGGCTGAAAACTTCTACTTCAGGCCAGTTGGCATTGGCAGAGGCTTGTTCGAGGCTGCCGCTGTCATTCCCATTTCCACCCAGTACGCCGGAAGGCTCTAATCGCCTTTTGCGCACCTGGCATACAAGCTCCACCCATCCACAACCTTCAATAAGAATATCCGTAGATAATATACAATACGGCAACCTATCAGCCGTGATACCCGCTGCATCTGATGCGGTAATAGGCCCAGACCGTTCCTTCGTTACATCCCATTTTAGTTGGAATGTACCCGCAGATTTGATCTTTTCGCCAGTCCCGGGTACAGAAATATTCTCAACCCCTGTCTCCAGCGTTTGCGTTTGAATTCCGATGGCCTTCTCCGTACTTGTTAGGTGCGATGATATTGGTGTGAACGCATAACCAAGGATTGTGCATTCTGGGTCAACCGGAGTAATGCGAATAAAACCGCCAAGTAGAAGAGACTGGCCAGGCTTAATGACCTGCTGCTCTGGTACCACTCGAGATCGCATTACCAAGGACAGTCGATGAGGTTCTTGAACATGCAATTCAAGGTCGCCACGGGCGAGACCAGGAAGATCTATTAGCTCGCCTTTCCCTCCGCCAAAAGGAACGCGGATAGGAGAAGCCGTCGTACCAGGCAATGGATGGACCAAAGGCATGTCAGGATAATCGACTTCCTCCACTGCTGGAGGGAGAAGGGTCAGGGGTTCCAGCAATCCCGCGGCTTCAAGGGAGTTGTCGTATTTTCCCAACGCGGCATCCATGGCAGGCTTCGAGGTCATCGTCGAAAATGATGGGTCTTGCTGAGCAGCACCACGCCTCCCTTTAGGAAAGACACTCGCAAAAAGCCTGCTCTTGCCAACGTTCACCTTTCCAACCATCCAACCGCCGCCACCGCGTTCCCAGATATCTTCTTTTAAGTCTTTTGTCCACCAATCTCTACGTGCGCTAACACACCTCACATTTCCAAGTCGGACATCTTTCCCGAACGACCCAAGGGCATCCCTCAATATTTCAACCAAGCGTGGCATCAACGAATCGACTTGAGCCTTAACAGGGGCTAGGAGATCTGAGCGAGTAATAATGAAGCTAATCTCAGTCATCTTGCCATGGTAAAATCGGCCTGTTTTCGCGCGGCGATTCATGGACCGTTGGGGCGTTAAATGCAGCAGTCGGAATAAGCCAGGTATCAAGGACATCGGGAAGTCTGCCGCGTCAACCACATGGTATATGTGGTTATATTTATGAGGTGACTCCAATATCGTGTCTTTGATCGATTGGATGGACGGATGCTGTATAGATTGCCCCGACTGGTGATGTTTGAGCTTGTGGCAGCGATCACAGACAGGATCTGCCATACTTTGTGCTGGGGCAACTGCCTGAGCTTTCAGCGAGTCGAGAATTGTCCCGTCAACTTGTCCCACCGCAGATTCAAGTGCATGGGCGTCCACAGATTGGTCTTTGGCAAGGACTTTCGCTTCTCCTTGCAGGTAGGCCTCCACTGATTTCCTTGTCAAGGTGTAGAAACCGGGTGCAGTGGCATCGGAGGTTTGGGAAAACGACCCGCACCCGGCGCATCGTTGTGGTAATTCAGGGACTCGGTTTTCAAAGCGCGAATGATCTTTAACTGCTGGCGCCCGGGGTAATATAGAGAGGCATCGTACTTGTGATCGCTGCGAGAGCGCCTGTAGAGCGCGAGAAGACGCCTTAAATCGGGTAAGGGACCGGGTGCTTGAGAGCAAGGCTGGACAGAGAAAGTGTGGCAAATCAACGCCAGCAAAGAGCTCAACTCTTCCAGCAGATACAGAGAGTTTAGATCCTGCTCGTATACCCGCCATTGTTAAAGTGCCGTTCACTACAGCTTCATTGAAGACGGTTTTGGGCGTTTATTGTTTCTGTTTCTTTTTCGTAAAGCAAGGCGGCGTAGAGATATGGAGTTGAATCTCAAATATTACTACGGCCAGCAGTAGCGCTTCCAAAAATCCGGGGAAATGTTCCGAACACCGACATCGACGCCAAACCGAATTTATTTGGACCACCAATTCACAATCTTTCCCTTCGCATAGTCCTACTTACCATTCCGAACGCTCATTTTTGCAAACATGGTCGGCATATTGAGGCGGATGACCAAGCTTCGCGCTGTAAGTAATTATCTTCCCTGTTGTGGTACAATCGATCAATTACTAATGTTGGCCCGATTCAGAAGGTATTTTATTTCCTCAAAACGAACGCTGGGCCACACGTTGACAGACATATTTAGCTGCTTGCTATCAAGTTAGGGCCAGGGGCTGCCGTTTTACCTAAAACTGTCACCAAGCTGCACATGGAATTTGCGAAGAGGATGAACGATGGACATTACGGACCAAGGTAGAAATGCCCAGTCTCTCGACCGCAACATGGACACTGTACTGAATTGACCAGGAAATTTTGGCATTCATGCCTACCACGCCTAAAGTACCACAACCCTACAGTATCTATGACTTTGGAGAGAACTACAAACCAAGAAGGCCCGGCACTTATGACGGTTTACTTCGATGACGCTACACAACCCGAAACCCCTGTGGCTGGTACCCAAACCGAACCTACAACCTCAAGTCAACAGCGCGTGGTGACTATCAATATGAAGCACAGGCACGAGTCTGAGATACTGTCACAATTACTCGCCTTGACAAATGCCGTTCCCGTGGAGCCTACTCCCGAAGAGGTGGAACAACTTCAACAGCTCGCAGCCCAGCAAGAAGTGAGCGAGAGAGACTCTGCAAGGCATGCCATTTTTAACGCGGAGAAGAAGCGGGAAAAGGCTATCCTAGCACAGGCCCGAACAGCAGCTTGATGATATCCTGTAAAATACTGGCATGGGAGTAGGGGTGTAAGACCAGATTTGGCGTTTAGTGTACGTTAGTATTACCAGACCATATGGCTGGGCAGCATGCTATGGAGTCCTTTTACTTTGTGGTCATGGCCGTGGGGCTCAAGCAATGTATTTATGTATAATATGTATATCTGATCTGAATTAACTTGCCTATTGTCCCCTGTGGCTAGCACGAACGATTCAAACCGATTTTAATGGGGATCACATGCATCATTTCAAGCCAAACCCCTCACTTTCATTGACGGCCCGCCAAAGTAACCGCTCAAACTTTGTACGAGAGCTGTATCGCCATAGCGACAGCATGTTGAAACATGTTCGAGCTATTGGGAATCGTAAGCTATCGTCACCAAGGCACGAAAGCTTAATGACCAGATTGGCTGCACCCATAGCAGGTATTCGATCGCTGCCCGTTATAAAAGATAGAAGCTTTCTCTGGTCTTTAGGGTCTGCATTCTTGAACGATTGCCAGAACCATTGAATGACCAGTTCCGTTTCAGCCGGGTTTGGGACGCCCCAATTTTCACAAACAGACACCGCTTCAAGTGATGAAATATCCAACGGTTCATCTGAACCTCGAATAAGAAGCTCAATCTCTTCGGGTCGAAACAAGGAGAGCGCGTTGCCACCACACACGGTGTAAAACCCACGTTTGAATGGCTCGAATTGCCGGACGACAGAAGTATCCAGAAGATATTTCACATAGAGATTTACAAATTCCCTGCGGTTCGAGTTGTTAACGGCTCGTTTTTCGCCATCGGGGCAAAGCGGTACTTGGTGGATCTTCCCATATTTCTCGACATCCGCAACAAAATCACGGCAAAATGTCTCCTCGACATCGCCATCAAATTCCAGTAGTTGGCGGAGTCCATGTGCAAGCGATGGGCGATATTCGGCAAGGTCGTCCAGAGTATAAACCATAGTAGGTTTTGCATGAGAAGGAGACCCTGGAAGGGAACTAGGGCCAGCGGCCAAGAGTTTCCTAAAAGCGAAAGATGGAAGTGCGACGTCTAAGATAGTCGAGTTGTAGATAGCAAGGCCTAGGACCACACCGACGAGGAAAAACTGATCAGAAGTTTCAAAGCTACTAGGGTTAAAGTAGCAAACGTGGGACTCTTCGTCGTAGACAAACATTCCTGTGCAAACTGTCAGTCACATTTGGGAATCCATTATAACCTTTACATACCATGTTCGGGGTTTAACACGTCTCTGACGAGCAAAAGAAACCATTCTTTTCGTAACCCGCCTGCATCAATACCTTCTTCGCCTTTGAATTCTATCCGAAGCCCCTTCTTGATTTCCTCGCCGCCACCGCCCACAACCTCGCTCACGCCTTTGAGACTGTCCTCGACCAGGCAATCCCGACGTACCTTCAGCACTAAATACTGATTGACGCTTTTGCGGGTCATTATACTGTCAAAAAAAGCCTCTCTGGCCTTTATTTCCATCTGGCGTCGAGCGTCGTGTTCCATTATTTGTATCTTGGCCCAGATACTCAGAAAAAAGGGATATTGACAAAATGTGAACTTCCCTCTCTTGGCCTCCCAGGCTTCGAAATCTGCTATTAAGTCCGAATAGTCAAGTAGAGTGTTGTAGAAGTGGCTAGTGGGAAGTATTTGGTTGCGATGATAGGTGCGTTCATGAGGCATTGAAACAATGTGGTGTTCCTCATATGATGGATGCGGTAATAGGGCATTATGGCGACGACTGCCATTATTATTTGCCGCAAATAGTAACGCCATGACTCGAGCTGCTGCTCGAATTTGCCAATCATCATTGTATTTGACGTTATTACGCTTTTCGGTAGAGAATTTTGCACCTTGCCCTCTTCCATTAAGCTCGGCATGTAATGCTGCCATGGTCCTGTGGCCGGATGAAGGCATATTTGGGACTAAGCCACCAGTTGGATCATGACCAGTATCGCGCCTTCGATTGTTTTGTCTTGTTAGGCGATATGTTACAAAACTGCCCACTAACTCCGTTGTTTGTTGGAAATGGACTTCGGAGAACTCTGAAAACCATGATACTAGATGATGGTGACACTCGTTGGGAAGGTTTGAAAGTAGTCCGAGTATCCGCTTGATAATTCCCGAATGATGCCCAGGCCCAGTGTCAATCTCTTCTGTTGTCAATGGAGACCTTAATGGACTTTTGTTTTTCGAGGAACTCGACGACGCTGCAATTTTAGTAGGAACAGGATACCCGGGGGGTGCTCGAGACACTCGAACACCATCCCTTAATATTGGCGAAGATGACGGGTAAAGAAGCGGGTTGGCCAAAATAATCAGAAGAAACCTGGTGTCGCTCGGTTCATTCAATAACCGTCCTGGTCTTTTTAAGAGGCCTTCCGTGGCCCTTAATAGAACACGCCTTGTGTGGCGTTGTGCCTCAGCGACCTCTCCTTCTATATGATTCATTTCGTCAATTGATGGACTATTAAAACCCAAACCAACAGAACTGAGGACCTCGGCCATATGACGGCTCCAGTCGTCACCAACGTGTATTATTGAATCATACCACTGGAAAAGCAAATCCCAATCAATCCGGGGCGAGCTTCTGTTCACATCATTGAGAGCGGTGGGCCCATTTGCAATTGGTATGTTTCCCCTTTGCGATATCGATCCGTTAGTATGGCTTGGGATAGCGCCATCTCTAGCAAGCCATGCTGCGTTCTCTGTGAGACCTCTGGGGATCGTCTTAGTACCCATTGGCGGCATTAAATCGGGAGTAGGTCGCCGCCTTTCGTCCACAACTGGTCTTGTAAAGTTCAAGCTTCCTTTAGCTGGGCCCCTGGATTCGACCGATGCCAGTTTGGTGGAAAAGGACCCATTGATGCAGTCATGCGATTGGAAAGACGCAACTATATAATCTTCCAGTGGCCCGAAAATATTCCTTGTTCCGTCGTTGGGACATCGGACATGCGTCTTGTCGATTTGCTCAGCAGGGTGAGGGGAGCCATTGACCGATGAACCATACCGGTTCCTAACAGTAGGCGTCTTCGAATCTTCAGTATTAAGACAGCACTCGCAGCCTACATGGTTGAACTCCGAGCAAGACGTTTCGTTCACCTTGGTGGGGTTTTCTGGGATTTCTGTGGCAACGCACATAGGCTTCGATGTAGAATCGGGCCCTGTATTGACAAGTATATTGCGTTCCGAGGCTGCATAGCACGGTAGGGCGTCAGATACATGTTTGTTCCATGCAAAGTAGGGGTCTTTATTACCTCCAAGCCGAGACATGAGGTAGGACTGGATGCATCGCTCAATCAAAGCGCTCGTCTTACGAGCAGTTATGGGCGACACTACTATAAACCAGTCAGATATAATGAATTTATCCTGAAAAACGTTATATGCTTGCCTACCTCTAGATGGAGAAGAGGATTCTCTCGTGCGATGTCTATGATGGTCGCTCCCGGAATCTTGAACTGTACTGATCGGTGTCAGATCATTTATAGTTACACATACAGAGCATCGAAATACGGCTAGTTCTTTGGGCCATCGAACCATCGAGTCGCAAGTCATGCATTTCCCTGATGTTAAATCTCGATCTTGTTGGGCCTTGGCAGATCTTCTCGCCCCGGACTTTAAGGGACTCTGGGGCGTTAAGGCACTGAACATAGCTCTGTTGTTGCTGTCTCCTGAATCACTCTCCATGGCCGTATGGTACCCGTGGCCTTGTTTCTTGCCGTGTGGTGTTGATGGGTAAGAGTGGCTTATGGATCTTCCACGACCCAGTGGCTGCTGTCCGTTTCTACCATGAACTGCTACTGGCCTTCGGTCTGGTGTATATAATGCAGGTGCATCATAGGCACGCCGGAAGAGACCTGTTTCTTGCAACTGGGTGGCCTCTTGCCCTTCTGTGGGTAAGGGCTGGCTTGCATTCATATTGACTCGTGCAGCTTTGTTGCGAGGTTCGGTGGGGACTAGTCGGAAGCCTCACGTCCTCACTACCTCATATTTTGGCAAGGTCGACCTTGGACTGGCTCTTTTTGGCACCTGGGCTATGCAAGATCTTAATATAAACCCCTAGCACCCCTTGTCAGGTCGTAATTACTAGTTATAGAGAATGTAAATATTGACGGGAACTACACGTATTCGTTTGTCAGCCCGTATCCGCGACAGCTCCAAACGAAACCAACCACCAACCAGATGTTTGTCATAGGCATCCAGTCCACCTACGTATAACGAAGGGATGATGTATCAAATGTACTATCTTCATAGCCCTGCGAGCAGCCAGTTGGTTGCCTTCCTAGGGGCCATGTTGACTAGCCACATTTTACCCGCCTACGTATTATATCTGCGTACAACTGTTTGTTGGTCGTGTAGATTAATCAGATCACCGTAGCTCGATCGATGAAATGACTTCGAATTATCTAGCTATATTATACGTGATACTTGGCCCCATATGGACTCGATTGGGTCATAGGCAGAGCTACCGATGACTCCAAACACCACTTGGATGCAATACTGTCACTCAGTCCAAATGTCTCAATACCGTGTTGGTGCATACACTGTCTATACAACGGAAAAATAATATTCTCAACTCTTTGTGGTTTTTCGAACGCAGAAAAGCAGCACGCTATATGCTACTTCGGATGTTTCATCATTAATGCCAAACGCATAGATTGTAAATGCCAGAATCATTCCTTGGTCGGAAACACACTTCCACCAACAGAATGGATCGCACTAATAATCAAGTGCGGGCTGGCTGCCATTTACTCATGATCTATGGGGTTACTTTACTCATGTTTACCAGACGCTTAACACCAACCTAGACATAAAGTTAGCAATGCAGCCGACACCCAGGATGTACTGTCCTTACCATCCAGTTTCCACACTCATCCAGCTTCTCTCGTTGGATATCTACCTGGATCCTTGAAGCCGTATCGTAGTCCTTTGCTTGAAGAGCCTGGGCAAGTTCGCCAAGTTTTTCGATGGTATCCGGCTTAACAAGCTCCCCATTATTAAGATTGTCAAACAGTATGTTTAGTCGCTTCTGTGTATCTTTCACCTGGGCGGCGAAATTCGGAGGTGCTTTGCTAGCGACTCGCTGCATATCATTGCTCAGTATACCTACCATATCCTGGGCGAACGCAGGTATATGTGACCGGTCACCCGGTGGATATTTTGATGACGGAGCAGGTGGCTTGGGAGCCTGCCCCTGTGCAGTGCCAGGCCTCGAAGTTGACACTGTGCCACGAGGTGGCTCTGTTTGGGCCGGAACTGGCTGTGTATGCTGGAACTGTTGCTGGTTATAAGTTGCCTGGGGAGCTTGCTGGGGGGCATATGGGTTGGACGGTGGTGGAGGTCGGAAACCTGCCTGGGGAGGCGGTGGGACCTGGCCTGGCACTTGTTGAGAAGGCTGCTGAGTAGCGGGAGCTGGTGCATAGCGGTTTGTTGGGGGTGGGCCCGACGGCGGAGCATTATATGGCGACGGTCCTCGAGCGATAGCTGGCGGTGGGGCGGCCTGAGGATAGCCTTGTCCACCCTGTGCATGCGGTGGTGCATAGGCATTAAGGTTAGGAGATGACCGGGGAGCCTGTCCAAACGGCGGAGGATGCCCAGCACCTAGTGGTGATGCTACTCTCGGTGCCATGGACCCCTTTGGAGGTGGCGGGGGAGGTGTAGGAGTGCCCCTTGGAGGCGCGCCAAACGGTGGGGCCGACGGTGGTAGGGCGAGGTTTGGCTGATTGGGGAATGGCGAAGTGATGGGAGCTGGAGCCGTTCCTGGGGTTCCTCTTCTAGATATGGATGGCTTTGTCACCATTGGCGTATCATTCCAATTTGTCATTTCCTTTGCTTTGGACGGAGGAGGCTGCGAGGGCGTAATGTTCCTAGGAGGAGCTCCAAATTGGCCATACGCGTTGTCCTGAGAGAAGCCTGTAGGAGGAGGCATCGACGGAGACCCATAAATTCCTTGTGGTTGGTTAGAACCATAGGCCTGTTGAGACCCGTATGCTGGCGCTGGAGGAGCATATGGATTTGGCGCATGTGCCGATGGAGAAGGCGCGTAGGGGTTTGCTACCCTAGAGGGTTCCACTGGGCGCTGCTGAGAAGGGAACGAAGTGGTTTGCTGGGGTCTGGGAACTGTTCTCGATACTACAGGCTGCTGTTGACGGGCTTGAGACTGCAGAGTTGCCTTCTTTGAGGCCTGCTTAACTCGGTTTCGCGCAACGTCAGCCGCCAAATACTGAGCCGGCAGAAGATTGAGATATTTGTCTGCAGTATCAAGGAAGCCATGAGAGGCCAGGATATCTGCGTATTCCACATATCTCTCGTACAGGGGCCCGAGCTTCCACCCATCAGATGAATCTTGCTCGGTATCCGCAAAGTTTGTTACCTTGCGAAAAACGGTAACTTTCTCAATGAAATTCTGTAGCAAATGTGCATGCACGGAGAAATTCGTATCATGGCCATCTTTTTGCAAGCCTTCCTGTTTTTGCTCATGAAGTTCAGATATCCAGATACCAACGACTTTATCCAGCTTTGATCCAACCAAGTAGCAAAACGAGGCGTTCTTGCGGGAGCCACCAGAATCAAGTATCCGATCACCGAGAGCCTCGCACAAATCAGGAAATTCTGTTGGATCGGCGTATGTGCACAAGGTAGCCATCGAATCTTTCCAGTTTGCCAAGTCGGCATTGTACACAATATCCCACAAATTTTTGTCGGTTACCGCAGCAAGGAGGCGTAAATATTTGGGTCCTTTAGCCGCGCTTGCCAGGTACGCCTTTTGAGCCTTAGCCAGTAGCTCCTTGCCTCCGCAATTGGCAATGACGAAAGCATCGGCCATTCTTTCATCCTTCAGGCATATGGACATGGCATGCTCGAACTGGCCAAGCATCAGAGCTCTTGTTATATCGCGGTCTGATTGCGAGTCTGAATCCGAAAGTAAGTGAAATGGATCGTTGGTTTTGGCTGTCTTCGTTGGCGTCAGATCCGACAGGAAATCATCGGTATCAGGGCTGTCGTTGAAAAATGTCGACAGCCTGTTATTTTTGGCCTTAGATGTCAAATCTGGTGTTGTTTCGGAATCTTTTGCGGCATCGGCATCGAGGGTTGTGGCATCCTTAACGCCAGTTGACGAATCTTCGGCCTCTGAGAATCCAAGGTACTCTGTGACACTCTTTCGGGGGCTCTCAGCAACAAGAGCTTTGATGACTTCCCAATCAGCACTTTCCTCTTCTGTATTCGCCGACTCTATATGGGATTTGCAGATTCCTAATATATCGCCGGACTCCAAAGATGTTTCGAATGCCTCTGTGGCTGCGGCAACACCGGAATCGGCTGAAAACTTTGATAGTTGTATTTTCGAGGAACGCTGGCCCCCTGCCGTCGTCGGCTGCTGGCTGAAGATAACCAGCTTTCCTCCGAATCCGAACGAAGCGCCTATAGGACGCTCACTCCATTTCGGGGCCTTCGTTAAAGTGAACGATGATCCTTGTGGCTGGGTTTGCGCCTTGTTGAAGAAGTCCTCGCCATCTGTAAGACCATTGGTTGCTCCCTGGCCGACAGGCTGGTTGGTGTTTTGCAGGGTCTGGATGGAGATCTTGCCATCAAACGACGCTGTTGCGGACAAATTGGGGTTGCGTGGGCTGAATCGCGTCTGAAAGGTCCAATTTGTGGCTTCGGGAAATTCTCCAAGAAGCTCGCCGGTCTGGGGATTCCAACATAACGTCTTGTTATCTTTACCGGAAGAGAGTAAAATATCGCTATCTTGTTCGCACCACGAAAGTGAAAGGACACCTTGCTCATGTCCTTGTAATGTTCTCTCAGGGGCATTCGAGTTTCGGAGGTCCCACAGTTGGATAACAGGAGTAGAATCGTCCGGCGTAGCCGTTAATAATTTCGTGGGATTGTTCGGATCCCATGCAATAGCTCCCACAGCCTTGCGGCTATTATTTAGAGTTAAAGTTGCTTTCTTTGTTTTCAAGTCCCACACTGTTACAAACCCAGCGACTGAGCCAGTGGCCAGAATATGGGGGACTTTTCTATTCCAAGCAATGCATTCCAAATCATCGGACCGCGCCTGGGGGTTGCCAAGTCTGGAAGCGTTTGACATATCATTGACATCGTAAATGTATAGTTCGCCTTTCGCGCCCGCGGTGGCCAAAATATCGGGCTTCAAGGGATTGAATTGGAGAGACTTGATCGCGGCAGCATGTGTTGATGTTCGGGACATAAAAGCATCGCTTGATCCATCAAGGAGCTTTTGTGCATCCCATAAGTCCAAGGAGCCATTATCAAGTGCCCCCGCAATGATACCCTTCGGGTGGTCTTCGTTTGGAGGTGCCCAGGCGATATCATGGAACCTGCCAGCGAGAAAATCAGTTATGCTGGGATATTTAATAGTAGACTGCACTTGTCCTCACCTCGAATCTGTGCTGATACTAGCAATAGGCTGGAGTTCAACCCCCTGTTCCAAATTGTCTAGGTTCAAGTCCCATAGCTCTAATTTCGTCTCGTCCGAGAAGTCTGCGTCTACAGCACCTGCTCTGGTTCCGGTAACCAGTATGGGCAGTCCAGTGCCAGGCGACCACGCGAAAGCAGCTGTTCTGGGTATCTCCCTTAACCGGACCATAGCGCCGTCCGAGGTGTTTTGGTCGCCGAGTTAGGTGGTTGCGTGGATCGGTGACGATGGTGGCAGAGGACGAACAAATTTCGGTCGCGTGGATATCGATTGAAGTGGTTAGAAGAAGGCTGGAGGCGTGAAGCTGTCACCAGTAAAGATTGGATCAGCTATGTTAAGAGGTGATGAGAGCCTGGATGCCACTGTGGAATTAAAGACACGTTCGGGTTGCCAAGATACAAGGGTTATGGATACCGGTGACTTGGAGGTTAAATTCACGTGACTCTTCTTTCAGAGGCTGAACGTTTTATCAGTTCACTTCACTTCCACCACCCAAATCACACAAAAGCACATATAACCTGTACGAAGACGGTCTACCTTCGAAATGACGGAGCAAGCACGGTTGAAGGGAACGGTTTACGTTGGTGGTCTTGCGCCAGTAGTAGACGCTGCGAACCTTCATGCAGCCTTCATCCCATTCGGAGAGATAGTCGATGTTTCACTTCCAAAGCCAGAAGCTCCTTTATCAACAGACCTTCACCGGGGGTTTGGTTATGTAGAATTTGAGGATCCTTCAGATGCACTGGAAGCTATCGATAATATGGACCAGGCCGAGCTATTTGGGCGAGTCATTAAAGTCTCGGCAGCTAAGCCTCAAAAGAATGCAAATGAAGGCCTAGGGAGCAAGACTGCCGTGTGGGAACAGGTAAATATCCTTAATACACTCTCCTTGTTGCATATATGTGGTGTTTTTTACTGACTTGGCTGGGCACAAAGGAAGGATGGCTGGCAGAGAATGCAGTCGACGAAGAGGACAAGCTCACAACAGACCATGGACGTGGCACGGAAGAAAGGCCAGACGATCCCATGCAGGGACTTGAAGGATTGGACGTTGCGGGGCCTAAAGCTAGATGATTTGTGACGGCAGTGGAAAGGACGAGTAATTTGGAAGTGGTACAGCATGTCGTGGAGGGGATGGCATAAAACGGCGTTAATAGAGGGCTTGCAATGGTTTTCTGATCGACGGTCTGCGTGGGCGTAATTGCAGACAAGGCCTTGTCTTTCAATAAGAGGGGGTCTCAATTCATGAAGTTCTGGTAGCAATCACTGCTTGCGCAGGCATACTAGAAATAAATGCCATTTGATATACAAAGTCCCTAGAGGTTTGACATTGGGACGCCACCTTTCTGATCACGTCATTTTAACATTGTATCAACATTGGTTTCTCTCCTCGATTCACAAGCCCATCTCTAGTCCCCCATTCCACCCTTTCCAGTTCTGGGATCTAATCGTGGCCCCTGTTTTGGCGGGACAGACGCATTTGCTTGTCCATCAACTTGGTGCCCAACGAATAGGCACCGAAGGCCACAGCAATGCCCACGACGATTCCTGCAGGTTATAGTACTTAGTTATTGAGCTTTTGGCATTTCGGATGATTCGTAACGTACCCAATGGGACCAACTCCGGAGGAACTCTTCTCCACTGGCGGAGACGCTGGGAGATGGTATGTGCTGTGATATCTAGAATCAGCCTCTACAATATTTCAAGAACGTGGCATCGAGATCGGGAGGACAATAGATATAGTTGCATGTCTAGAGTCTATCGGATTGCCTTACCGCTTTGGTCTTCCTTCTGTTCGGAGTCAGTTAGCATGTGCACCTAGAAGTAGCAATTGAGGGTGGTGTGGTGAGCCATACAGGGACAGGAACCATCATTCGCCTGGTCGGCTGGAACATGTTGAGAGGGGTAGACGACCGCATCGTTACTGTGGTAGCCAGTTGCAATTCCTGTTCTTCGTGATGTTGTTCTGGAAGTTGGTAATGCTGTGGTCTGAGCGAGATATCGGAAGCTCCATTTACGCGCTAACATAATCGGCTAGCCGAGCTCGTCTGAAGGTGCCGACGTACTCCAGTCCTCGGCGACTTGCTAAAACAGAATTCAGCAATTGACTTGCAGGCACTACCTCATCACTTAACTATCATTCCATACGGACTTCGCAAATATGTCTGACGACGACAGAGAGACCAAGCCCTTCAAGTTTGTGACTGGTAAGTTCGCGCTCCAAGTTTTTCCGCGGACACCCGCTTGATGAGGTGTTCCTTGAATTGGAAGCGCATGCTGATTGATATGTATAGCTGGTATGCCTTCCTCTACTCAGGTTGCCTCAATTGGCACGAGTGATGCCTGGGCTTGAACTCACCTCTCTGACAGGGTTCGATGCGCGCTTCCCAAACCAGAACCAAACGAAACATTGCTGGCAAAACTATGTCGACTACCACAAGTGCATCATTGCCAAGGGAGAGGACTTCGCTCCTTGCCGCCAGGTATGCCAATTCCTCTCGGAGAGACCGCAGGGCGACTTTTGCTGACAGCATAGTTCTTTTTGGCATACCGATCATTGTGCCCAAGTGCCTGGGTTGAACGCTGGGACGATCAGCGCGGTATGGAGCCCTCAACAAGTGTCGATGGATTGTAGCTGACAATATATATTAGAAAACAACACCTTCCCAGCCCGTTTGGATTAGTGCATCATGAACGGGTTTGGCGGAGGTCATGATGTTGGTTGGCCTTGAAGCAGGAAACGAAGGATGGACATTGTAGAGTAGAAGTCGGTAGAACAAATTCATTGGCTACGCCTGTTATTATCACCGGCTGCTTCATTGATATGTTTGCTATAACTATATGTGCGATATAAATGTTATGAGCCCAAATCTGGATATCAAACGCAGTTCTTGTTCTATCACAGCGCCCGGAGAAGTGTCCCATATATGTATCTACGTATATTACCTTGGTATGCTTCCGGAGCCCAGTTTGGTTAGGCGGTAGAGGCGACGAGCACTCTGTTGCATTAAATTTATAGTTCGCAAACCCAAGTGCGACCTTAATCCCAGATTCCTGTTGATGTTCATGGCATGGCTTCCAGGTAACAGGAAGCCTGACTATCTTGTTGGCAACGGCCTTCCCCGTGGCTTCCGCCATAGGCTATTATTACGTCTGGTGTGGATGGAAGAATCACAGGGAATAAATATTTCCTGGCACAGAATACATCTCCGCGCAATTGACGGAACGTAGGTTGAGCTTAAAAGCTGGCATTGCTAACCTATTTATACACCGCCTAACTCCACTTCCGCATGACTTGCAAACATACTCGTAAACACATTAAGCCTTCCGCCTCGCACTGCTTCTTGTTTTCGTCACAGTTTCTGTCGTGTCTGGCTTTGACTTCGCCTTGCCTTTCCCTTTCTTTGATTTTGGGATTGAGGTTGGAACCTCAGGGACCAGGTCCGCCTCCTCGCCGTTCGGTGGCTCCTCGGGACTCAGCTCCATCTCGTCATCATTTGCCACTTCTTCCCCGTCCTCCTTTTCCATATCTTCACTTTCATCGTCGCTCATAAAGTCATCATCCTCGTCAAATCCAAAAAACGACCCTGAAAACTGTTTACGTTGATCTGACCCTGATGGTGGTGTAGACATCTTTGAATCAACGTCAGTCGCCAACGAACTTCCACTCTCCATATTGTCGTCAGAAGATGATCCGCTGGCTGTCAACTTAGGACGGCTCGAGAGGTTGTCTCTGTAGTCGCCTGATCTTATGGCCGCCTGAACTGCCTCTCTCGTTCGTTCTCCAGCCTCTTCCTTGTCCTCCACCCACTTGCCGTCAAGCTTCCCCTTGGATCCAGATTTAATTTCTTCCTCCCTCTTCTCCGCAAGTTCCACCACTTGCTCCCAGCGTTTGCGGCGTTGTTCTTTCTCCTTCTTCTCCATATCCGGTTTTATCGCCAAATACTCCGCTAGAGCCTTCGCCTCTGTAACCGTCCGAAGCCTTCGGCCATCCAAGTTGCGACTTGACCCGTTATTTTCACCCTGGTTTCTCTTCTTCTTCGATGACATGCGCCCGCCAGCTGCGCGAAGCTGGGAACCAAAGCCACCCTTGCCACCACAGAGACGCGCGGAAAGGCGTAACGATAGGAATGCATCGCTATCGGAGGAAACGAGACTTGATATTTGTTCGCAGGAATTCAGTTCAAGCTGCTTGTTTGAGGCGGTGGTGAGAATAAGTCGGTCATTGAAAGGAGGGATGCGTTCAGCAAGCTGGTAGCAAAGCTCGGCCACTGATGCAGTTGACGGAATCGGGAGGACAAGAGTTTTAGGGAGGTTGAGGCCTGGAAATGAGGTAAGGAGTACGTTGATAGTAGTTGGAGCCATGGTGTAGAAGGTCGTCCAGTGCGGTTGTGTGTGTGGTGTTGTATTTATACTTCTGAGTTTGTTATGCCCATCAAAGCCCCGTCTCGCGATTTACCTTGAGGCTGAGCGGCTCTATGGCGATAAGGACCGACAAGGTACTTCGTACTCCGTACACAAGAAAGCCACTAGCCACATGCACCAGCTAGCGCATTTATGCCCGCATGGGGGTTCTCACGATAGGCGCTATCTAAGCGAAAATAGTAAGCGAGAAATTTACTGTCAGGGCTCCAAACCCCAATCGCGAACTTTCCGTATTGCTTGGTCCAAGTCGAGCTTCAACCACCAGCCTCCTTCGTCAACGACTCAAAACCGCCAAAATGTATGTACACCTGCTATACTGAGGCATATCGAGAGAGATTGTGTGCAATGGCAATACTAACGCAACTTTCCTGGCAGGCTCATCCCCAAGGCCGACCGCAAGAAGATCCACGAGTACCTCTTCCGTGAGGGTGTCCTCGTCGCCAAGAAGGACTACAACTTGCCAAAGCACAACGACATCGACACAAAGAACTTGTACGTCGTCAAGGCTTGCCAGTCCCTCACCTCCCGCGGATATGTCAAGACCCAGTTCTCGTGGCAATACTACTACTACACCCTGACCCCCGAGGGTCTGGACTACCTCCGCGAGTGGCTCCATCTCCCAGCTGAGATCGTTCCTGCTACCCACATCAAGCAGCAGCGCTCGCACGCACCTCCCCGCGGAATGATGGGGGGTGAGGGTGACCGCCCAGAGCGCAAGCCATTTGGAGGACGTGGTGGTCGTGGTGGCCGTGAGGGCGGCGATCGCGAGGGTGGTTACCGCCGCCGTGATGCCGGAGAGGGCAAGGAGGGTGGTGCCCCAGGAGAGTTCGCTCCTTCGTTGTAAGTTATTCAAGTCCTTGGTTAAGAGATAACTTGACTTACATATTTATAGCCGTGGTGGTTTCGGACGTGGACGCGGCGGTGCTGCCCCAGCATCTTAAATATGCGCTTACCTCTGCTCTTTGCATCGGGTACGGCTCCATATGTTTTCATTCAAAAAGGTTGGGCTGAACAGTAGCGCGTTTGGTCGAGTGATAGAAATCGCCGGGGACATGAATAGGTCGGAGCAGGAAGTTGACACTTCACAGCCGTCAGATAGCACAATGAGCTTCATCCATTGAATGCCTTTTAGCTACGAGTGAATGCCTATTAATTCATCATTTCTGCTTCGAGAACATGCCCCGATATGCCCATTTGAGTTGATTTCCTCCTTTCAATGTTCTATAAAGACTAAACAACATTTCCGTTGCCAATCCAGACATAGAGAAGGAGAGATTCAAGTATTACTTCAGCGTTTGTGCATCACCTTTTCATTTCCATGTTTTATTCTATAATGTCATGAAATATCCGTCATTATTTATGGTTTCTTGTTGTCAGACTACTCCGTGGTTCCGAGATTGGGACTGCAATGCTGTCTGTATGTTGTAAGTTTGGCTGGCCTCCATTCGCCTAATTGTGCCTTCATTTTTGTCAACGTGTAATCCCTCCCATTCATTAATTACAACCACCACTGCTTTTCAACGGGGAGAATGGGATTGGTCGCAAATAAACATAAGGCACAATTACGGTATATCCCAAGATACTATATAGGTTGGATCAAGGGGATCAAGTTTGCCCAAGGCTTTGGCACCCCAAACCCAACTTCTGTTGTTTTAATTTTAATACTATCCTTCAGCGAGCCACCCGCAATTGTCTGAACTGCCCACGGACCGAAATCTTATTGCTAGCCAGTCATATTCCCAATTAGGACAGGGAAAATGAGCAGAAGACGAAAGTCGGAAGGTATGTATCTTCAACTTCGGATCAAAACTGTCTGAAAGGAGATAACCCTGCGACTGGCAGACCAAGAGCTGATACCACATAGACATTGACGGACATGGAAAACACAGGGCAGCCAAGCGGCAGATGGGCACATACTCCACAAATTTGAATACTCTGGAGGACGACAGTTATGAAGATGTTGAGATTGAGCGCGACACAGAAGGGCTCTTTGTGAAGCAACCCCATGCACAACGGGATCGCGAAACCAAGAAAGATAAATCCTTGAAGCTTAACCAAGTCAAATTTGCGTCCCAATACGGTGAAGGAGGCAGGACAGATAACCAGTACGTGATTTCCTAAGTATTAGTTGGATAGGTGAAGATTTGCGCTGACCCTATTCCAGACGGTTCACTGAGGCTTCGAAGACAAGCAAGAAGGGTAAAGGGATGAAGAAAGGTGCCAGGTATTTGGACGACATCAAGCACATAGTGGATGGCCAAGCTGAAATTACGGGAAATCTTGGGGCAATGGCTCACCAATCGTACGTGTTGATATCCTAAATGTTTCGTTTCTAAGTTGACTGTCTTTTAGTTTGAGCTTGGAGGCCCAATTTTCCGATTTTTTCGTTGAATCACACCAGATGGTTCTGAGTGACATCCTCTGTATAGGGGCAACTCGCCATGGTCGTCTGATCTCTCTGAAGGATGCATGCACGTCAATCACGGAAAATGGCCATCAGCTTCTTGCTGCGGTCGATCATTTGGGCCTGGAGCTTGGCTCACACATGTTGTCAACTCAGGCTAAGGAACAGGAGTGTGAACAGAATGTTTTGAGTCTGGAAGGCATACTGGAAGGTGGAAAGCGTGAAGGAGAAGCCAGGGCCGCCACTCTGTTGACCGGTCTCCGGATGCAAGACGTCCAAAGCGGCGACGATGAGGCTTCCGGTGCACTATTTGACGATGCAACGGATGATGAGGGAAGGGTGACATGGGCACATGTTGCGGCGAAACAAGGAAAGGCAGTCGGGAAACTTGCTTCAGCATTTCTTCGTGATTAATCGATGCCATGTGGTATCAGGAGGGGATTAGCTTTACAAACACGGAGGAGCCACTGCCATTATAACGACCGAACTGAGTGGGGTATTGCAGATTTTGTAGCTTTTACGATATACAATAGCTAAAGAGCTTCCCCATATATTCTCTCTTCGTGATCAGTGAAGGGGCACGAGGAGTCAATTGCCCAGTTAAAAGCCAACATTGGGGAATCCAAACAATAAAATAACTCCATCTGCTGCCGGTCGCCGTGGCACAGTTACCACAGGGTTATTATAAATAAATAAATAATGCAAGTATAACAAGACGAGACCTTCGTAGGTCTCCGTCGAAGCTGGCTTGACTAATTCTTGTAAATGCAGGGGTTAATCCGTGATTATAGTCGCGCGGCTGCGCTAGCGTTGCGCTAGCGGTGCCCTAAATTTTTGGTGCCGCGAAGCGACGCACATTTCGTCCCTGCAATATTGAAATTTCATTCCGAGATTCCACACGACAACTGACGACCATCGCCAACCCCATCACAATCGAAAGTGAGCTCACCAACCCAGAAGAATTGATACTAGAACACACAGCTGACTCTGAGGCAATTAGATGGGTGCCCTCAAGTACGTCGAAGAACTTCAGAAGAAGAAGCAGTCTGATGTGCTGCGCTTCCTTCTCCGTGTCCGCTGCTGGGAGGTAAGATAATACCTCGTCCGACGACCTCGATCACTTCGGCATTGCCATAGGGTTTTCGAGGTCTCAAAATTCATACTGTGGACATTTCGATGTCTCTGCTATACACTCGTTGAACATTGCTGAGAGTGCATAATATAGCTTCGCCAACTGAATGTCATTCACCGCGCATCCCGCCCATCGCGACCAGACAAGGCCCGCCGTCTGGGTTACAAGGCCAAGCAGGGCTATGTCATCTACCGCGTCCGTGTTCGCCGTGGTGGACGCAAGAAGCCAGTTTCCAAGGGTGCCACTTTCGGTATGGCCTCCCAACCGAAGAATTTATTTTCACGACTTCGAACTAACGAATTTTCTCTTTTTAGGCAAGCCCACCAACCAGGGAGTTAACCAGCTGAAGTACCAGCGCTCCCTCAAGTCGACCGCTGAGGAGCGTGTCGGCCGCCGCTGTGCTAACTTGCGCGTCCTGAACTCGTACTGGATCAACCAGGACTCCACCTACAAGTACTTCGAGGTCATCCTCGTCGACCCCCAACACAAGGCCATCCGCCGCGATCCCCGCATCAACTGGATCGTCGCCCCCGTCCACAAGCACCGCGAGTCGCGTGGCCTCACCGCCACCGGCAAGAAGTCCCGTGGTCTCGGAAAGGGTCACGGCTTCAACCACACCACCGCCGGTCGCCGCAAGACCTGGAAGCGCCACAACACCCTCAACCTCCAGCGCTACAGATAGTCTGGGAGTCATTAGGAAGGAGATTTCGAGGATGTTTTGCGCGATGGTTAGCTTTGCGTGTGGTTTATATTGCATCTTAGCAGTCGTGTAGGGTGCCTACACCAATACTAAAGGCCTCATCAATTTATATTGATTGTGTGAACTATATATCACGATTTATGATTTAATTTGTGACTTCTGGGTGACATATACGTTTGCTTCTGCGTTGACATCGTGAATACACGTCCAATACCAATTGCCCCAAGAAACTACAGGCAATTGGGAAGCAAATTCTCACTGTGAAGAGCACCTGTGCCAAGGCTTGCCTAGATCAGCGATGGAAAAAGAGTAGAGTAGCAGTCTAGAATATCCATTCATATCATAGTGTGTAACTAGTCAACCCACTAAACGCAAATCCCGCCATCAAATTGCCCAAATTTATCAAAAAGGCAGACAATTGAAACTCCATGCAGATACCCCTTTTGAGCCCAGCACGAAAGCCTCTGTTTACCCAACTCTGTTTACGGTAAAAAAACGACACCCCCAATTGCAAATCTATCTATAACCTCCCTAGCGATCTCCCTTCATCAGTCGTTAATCGGCCCCAACTTCCCATTTCTGTGTGTGGTATACCGGTAAAGAAGGTGCTTGAAATGAGCGACCAAAGAAACACCCGAAACCCTCACCGTCAGAGTTGCGGCTTTATGGTGTATCGTATTAAAGCAAAGAATCGCAGTGGCCTCCAACGAGGAGGCAAGTAGGAAATGTATATCGAACTAACGCGAATAAAACTGGTCAATCAACGGCTGTTGAGCGACAGTCCTTGAAATGAATTCATCCAGCCCTCGTTGTCACCCCCTGGTCGGCTAAAATCGCCAGGATCTTGGCCATTACCAGTTGTATGGGATGGTAGGAAGCGATCAGGCGCGCCGTGATAATCTGCTGCAGTTTGGAATTGAGAAAACGACTCCATCTGCTGCATCATATTCGGGCCATAGTTGCCTGGTCCGTTACGTGGAGCTGGGGTGAATGCTGAATGGCCGTAAGTGAACGGCTGCTGGAACGACGTTGGGGACACGCTGGGCTTATCAAGTGTGGGCTGAAAAGCATTAGCAGCCCCGGGCTTGTATCCTCGAGCACCTTGGTTCAAGGCATTGAAATTGGGCTGCTCTTGCTGGGGTGGCTGCTGTGGTCTTCTCTCCACCTGGGTTTGTCTGTTCGCGCCAACTGCACCTGGGCCGACTCCGCTAGGGGCTTGAAGTCCCAGGCTTGGGCTAGCAAATGACGCCGGATTTATGGCAGACATCCAGATTCTGGTCTTGTAGACCTTGAACAAATCTGTAACCAGGGAGTTGAAGTTGATATAAGCATCCGCAAAGTAATAGAAAGTGAGCTTTTTCCAATCCCTAATGCATTGTTAGTTAAGAACGATGGAAGAATTAGCATAGGACTTACATCTGAAATTCGGCATCAAGGATTTCCATGTGGAGGCCGTGCTCCTTTACTTTCTGCATGCAAACTCTCTTTGCCTTGGCTTCATTTCCTTCCTTGTCCCGGAGAGCCTGTATTTCATGGTTCTGCGCCAAACGCTTGATGATTTTTGGCTTTAGTTCTCCAGGATTTGGCTCTTGCATTCCATGTTGAGTGGGAGGACCCATCCCACCAACGGCACTTCCCTGAAGTCCATTTGAGGCGGCCATCAAACCCGCGCCTGTTCCATCGGCAGTGCCAACTGCACCTTGCGAGTACATCATCAGCCACTTGTAGTGCTCTTCAGCGTAATGCTCTTTTAATTCTTTCGCTGTGGCCCAGTCAACATTGTCTTGGGCTACCGTGCCTAGATCAGTTCCACGATCCGCCTCTACAATCACAAGGTCACCGGGTTTGACAGAGAGCCCAGTTCCTTCCTGGACGTAGAAAACGTCGGCTCTTGAGCACTTGAAGAGCACGATATAGAGAAGTTGATTCTGTCGTGGCTGGGGTACACTGTAGATGTTGCGATGAGGAGAGGTCGGTTGCACACTGCCATAGGCTGGGGCAGCAGGGTAAGGTTGATAGGCAGAGGCTTGTTGATAGGGCGGTAATCCATATGCCTCGGTATTTCTTGCTTGGACGGGTGCGCCGCCGAAATATGATACTGCTGTATTTGCCCCGCGTGAATAATTGGCCCCAGGCGAAAGGAAAGGGTGAGCGGTTGTAGAAGGTGCAAGCTTACCATGATCATTAATCGTATAATCAGTGGAGTCAGCATAGCGTGACTGCACATCTTGAGGCAAGATTTGCTCTTGATGGCCATTTTCACGGCCTGGCATCTGCTCACCAACAGAGCCTACAGAAGCATGGCGGGTCGGGACGTCAGCAAACGAGTGTCTGCGACTTTGAGAGATGTCTGATAATCCGCCAAACCCCAATGAGCTCTGCCAAATCGCCTTTTTCACGTTCTCAAGTTTTCGGTTCTCAGCTGCGCCATATCCTCCTCTTCCTAGTTGACCCTCGCTATATTCGCTCAGTCGGCGTGCAAGCATCGATTTATTTCCGATGTCTTGAAGCTCGCCCATCTCATCCATCTCATCGATGGCATAGTCGGATTCTTCCGGCAATGTATCTTGCAACCCGTATGTATACCCAGGCTGGAAGGGAGCAAGGGATGTGCTGGTAGCAGCTCTCGGCCTAAGCCTTGAGTTATGATAGTTCTGCTTACGGAGCATTGCATTCTCTCGCGCCAGTGCCTCGAGCACCTTGGCCTGGTCCTGTAGCTGCGAACCATGGGCCATATTGTTGTCAAACTCTTCCAGGTCGTCGTCATCAACTTCCTTAAGCTTTCCAAGCCCAGTTCCGTCACCTGACACCTCACTTAGCATGCTGGGCCTTGATGGTCGGTGCTGTAACCCTGAATGGTGCATTCCGCGGCCACGGCCGTTGAAGCCAGGGCCTGGCAGAATGCCCGCACCAGGAACATTGCTCTCGGAGTCGAGTTGCCCGACAGAGTAGGACTGGGAGCGATATGTCTTCGGGGTTGGATGAAGAGGAATTGCGAAAGGTATTGTTGTCTCTGCAGGCGCATCACGAGATGCAGCGAGGCCCTGAGAATTACTGCTGTCTGTGTTGAAGAGGCCATTATTGGCGAATCCGCCTGTCAGGCTGGTTGGTGACGGAAGGACCTCTGACAACCTATGGGGTGCGTCTTTTCTGGTTTCAGTATTCCAGATCCCAGATCCCCAGGGAAATGATGTAGATCCAGGAGGGACGCGGCCAGCAGCTGTAGCGGATGATGTGGACGTATGCGCACCCCATGCGCCTGTCTCGGTAGATGGAGTGGTGGGATGTGAGGTTGTTGGTGACATTGTGCTGCTTGCGAAAGAACCCTTGCGAGGCTGGCTCAAAGGCTGGGTTGTATCATTCAGCCAAGAGGCGCGACGAACAGGCTTATGAGGCGGTGCTGTCGGCATGGTACTCTCCTGCCGCTGCTGGTTGTCACCCTCATCGTCCGAGCTGGCCAGAGCCTCAGAGTCAGGGGTGGATCGTCTCCCGTTGAGTTTGTCGAGCAAAATGGAGGGGTTGCTTGCTGACATTGTGGTGGGGTAGGATGAGGATGACTGGTTAGATTTGCCCGCCGGCCGGGTTTTCGCTCCAGAGTTCATGTCGTATTAATATGTTGTACAGTCGAGGAGTGATATATTTCCTCCGCCAATGCAGATCGCGATCCTTTCAAAGTCTAGATTCTCCTATTCTAATAACCCAAATGAAATGTTCCAGGCCTCCTGAGAGGATAAAGAAGGCTGAATTCGCCTCAACTATTCATTGCCCATTGTCGTCTGGAGAGAGAGGACGCGACAGCCTAGCCTAGGGAGTTATATCCCGTCGCAATAATGGCAGTCGGTGTATGTGAGGTATGGGGTTGAAAGTGTCAGAGTAGACTCTCTCAGGGTATTGTAAGGTCAAGGCGACACAGGATATGTTGTGGCGGATCGATTGTTTGTGGCAATGAGCTTTTGAAAGGCGACACGCGAGAGCTTTGTGGGGATGGAGCCTAAGCTTTGTGACGGCGGGTGGCGATTGATGCGACGAGAGGCAGAGAGCGAGATGTGTAAGGGAATTTGGACAGACAGATTGAATGTCGAGCAGAGAAGATGGCGCGCAAAGGGTATGTATGTGTGTGTATATGTATGTGAGTAAGTAAGAGTAAGTATGAAAGATGATGTTTTGCAAATGATGGACGATAGGTGTGCGGGTTTTGGGGAGGGTGGAAAGATGGAAGGGGAGGTAAAGTAGAAGACTTTCTCCACTTTGGAATGGGTCGAGTGGTCGAATGGTGGGTGGACTGTTCTGTCGTCTGGGTCGTCTAGGTTGTCTGGGCCTGTTCCGGGGTGTAGGGGTTGGTTAGTTAGTTAGTTTAGTTTGTTAGGTCAGTAAGGTAAAGGTCAGAAGGAGGCAGGTGAGGCAAGTACTGAGTACATGTGGAGGGTGGGCTGTCTAGGTAGCCGTAGAAGTAACGGCGGTTTAATAGCCAGTAGTGCAGGTCTGCAGTGCGGCGTAGATGCGTAGATGCGTAGATGCGTTAGATGAGTAGATGCGTAGATGCGTACATAACTCTAGAGTGATCTATGCTACTTCTACTTTGCTACTACTACTCTACCTACTCTACCATAGGAATAGTATGATATTTAGTATGAAATTGTTATGTGTGGAGTGAGAGAACAGAGCTAGAGGGAGATCTAGATCTATAATGTAGGTAGAAATGCCATGCGTTATGTGCTTTATGTGCTTTATGTGCACCGCATGTATGTATAGAGCTGCCTCTAAGGACCGACGACAACTTTGATGCTTTGGTAAGATCGATCGCTTCTCATGTTGCCACAGGTTGCCATTGCCACCACCCACAACAAAGAGGCGCAATATGAGGGTGGGAAGGGAAGCAAATCCTCAGTCATCTGCTGTACCCATATCCCATAACACGGTACAGTATTGCTATAGCAGTCATATACTACACTACAGTAGAGAGACTAGCATGTACCGTACCGTACGCTGTACGAAGTACGAAGTACGGCAAGTTTATAGAGTAGAGTATTTTCGAGCATTTTCGAGTATTATACATACTGTAGTAGAGTACGTTGATCGTTGTTGACTCTTCCCGTTGACTCTGCTCGTACTGTATACTTTGATGATATTGCGGAGATAGAGGGGCTACCGTAGCACTAGACTCGAATGAGTAACACTTGATGGCACTAGCCGTTAGCGTGTGTCTTGGTAAACTGCGGGGGAACAGGAGCAGCGTCAAGAGACAAGAGACAAGAGACAAGAGAGACAAGAGAGACCAGAAGCGACGGAAGGGACAGAAGAGACAGGTAGCAATAAATTGCCTGTGCTTGAGTATGTACATCTCTAGAGATGGTACTTGCTCTACTACAGGACGCCACAGTATAGTATTGGTATCTTAACTACTATTCGACAACCCTCAGCATCCCATCTCTCAACATCGAATCGAATCGACAATAGACAGACAGTACAGCTAGCTCTAACTGCTTCCCCGTACCATCTTACTTCTTTCTACCTCACTCTACCTTTCATACAGTAATCTACTAGCAGACGCAGCATCCTCGGCAGTATTATGCTTTGTCTTCCGTGTATATATATGTTCGCATATATTCGTGCTGTACCTCCTCTACTCCAGTATTCTATTCCGTCTCCTCATCCATCCCGCCACATCCATTCCCATCCGTCTCCCTCCCTTACACCTCCCTCACACCTACCTCACACCTACCTCCCTTGTCCTTGAAGAAACGAGGCACCGTACTGTACGACCATTCCTGCCTCCATGATCTAATTACGACCAATGCTCTTGTGTCCTTTGTGTATTTTGTTTGGCTGGCCCTTGCCACACCCTCCCCCTCCTCCATCACCCATCACCCATGTGCCCCATGGTTAATCAACCCCATGCTTGTTGGGAAACCCGCCCCTCCACCACCACCCTCCACCCCCTCCACCCCACCTCCTCCTTTCCCCCTCCACGGAGTACTGCCTTTCTAGGCCACCTGTCGTTTCTGTACTGCTTGGTCCCCCTAGCAATTATCTCTCCAAAGTTCACAATACACGGGAACTGAGCCTCCAAGGTCTAAGCTATCGATCTCTATATGACATCACGCTCCATCTGTCGTCAATGCCATCCCATCTTCTCTACTGCATCTGGCTAATTCCGTTCATATTTCGATCAGGTGTGGTGGGGTGTTGCTCTGGTGGTGGCCACGGATCGGAAACCAGGAGAAAGAGCTCGACAAAGCGCAGGTCTGTGAGTCTGTGTAGCACTGGCTGATGTTGACAGGTTGACGGTTCACGGTTGGCGTTTATTTCACGGTACACCAAAAACTTACTACCGCTGTTCAACCCACCCCTCGTGACTCTTTGATATAACCTATCCTTCCACAGCATCTACTGTTCCGTGGCTGTGTTTAACTTCCGGTACTGCTGGCATTCTTCTCCTCCACCTTTCTACTCCCTCTCCCGCCAACCTACACCACCACTACGTCAATGGATCACCCCTTACAATAAACCTTCGGCTTTCGATCGAGATGGGCCCTGCACACCGAGAAAGCGGGGAAGTGGCACCCTGGCCAATTATGTCTGCACAATGCTTCATTTGGGTATATACACGCATGTCCCATCCCTGCGGTTTTGTTCTAGTATACATCCAATTCTTCACGATACTATACAGTCTACAGTGTACGTGATGCTTCATCCCGGCACACTGTCCAGGCTGTCCTTGCCTTCTGTTGACGCCGGCACGCTTCCCTTTTGCTGTTTCAGCTTCTCCTCAAACTTTGCAAACTCGGCCAGAGCCACTTCCTCCTCCTGATCTAGAACTTGAACAACGCCCTTTACTTCCTCGATCTGTGCTTGATGTTAGAAAGTGATTCTTGTCAGGGGGGTGGGGTTACTCACATAATGCATCAGCATTCCCTCAATACCATTCTTCAATGTGACCGTGCTCGAATCGCATGTACGGCAGGCACCTCTGAGCTTGAGCAGTACATTGCCTCCTTCGAACCCCTTGAAGTCGATATCTCCACCGTCCTCTTGGATCGCGGGTCTAATCCGTGTTTCCAGAAGCTCCTTGATCATTCCAACAACCTCACTATCATTCTCGTTATATGCAAGACTGTCTTCCTCCGCGCCCTCATGATGTTGCTCTCCTGGCTTATGCTCCGTAATGTTCACCATCTGCTGTCCGGAAGTAACGGCTTCGGTGATGAGGCTGAAAACTTCAGGCTTGATATGCGCCCAGTTGGCATCGGCGGCCTTCGTGACCGTAATGAAATCCACTCCATAGAACACAGATGTGATCCCGTCTATGTTCATCAAGTTTGCTGCCAGCGGAGAGGGATGTGGAGGCGCCAGAGTTGAGCGTGGCGACATATATTCAATGAAAGGCGTCGAGAGGCCCTCGGGTAGAACTCGCTGGTTGGGGAGGAACTTGAGAGCATCCGGGTTTGGTGTATTCTCCGTCTGAATAAATATAGTTCGACTACCGCCAGCCGCAGCTGCTGGGCGTAGTATAGTTGATGGCTGGTGCAATGGCTGTAGAGTTGGTCTCCTCGCTGAATTTGTCGCCCCCATCGATGGTAGTCTTCCGGTTTGGTGAAGACATCTATATGCGGATGTGATTGGAACCCTCGGGGTTATTCTGGTTGGCCTTAGCATCCTTGCGGACGATGCCACTGTGCCGAGCGCTCGACATGATGCCATTGTGCTGTTTGTGGATACTTCTTTCACAAAAACCACTCTTTGTGAGTAGTAGGAGTTCTAGAATATTTACCACACTCGGGACGATATGATGTCTTGGGTTGATCTCCGGTAGATTTCCGGAATGACGGCATATGACTCAGCACGATTGATACTTTGTGCACGTGACCCATCCGTTCGACTTTCCACCGCCATCACGGATCTAGACCGTCGTCTCCTCTGAATACTAGTTATGGAGCCCACCACTGCTGACCTTGGCGGTAATGGCGAGGTTCTGGATATACCAGACAAATCGCAGTCTCCCCAAAATCCGGATATACCACAAACGCAGGTAGACCATAGCCTTCCTGAAGAAATCGCTGAAGTTCCACAAGCCGCCGCCACTGAAGACCAGAGTCCCCCAAAAGCAAGCTTGAGCAGCAAGTTGTGCGGGGTGTGCAACGACCAGCAGGCCAAGTATAAGTGTTCTCGATGTGAAATTCCATAGTGAGGACTTTGATTACCAGTTACCTGCGAATGAATCTAACAGTTGGTAGTTGTTCTGTGGCCTGTGCAACTCTACACAGAGCCGTCCCTTGTGAGGCACCAGTGACCAGAAGTCTGACTCCTCTTGCTGCCGAACCTGCAACGCAGAATGGATCAATAAGATCATTGCCAGGAACCGTTGCAGGTTCCACTCAGGGCAACATATTCTCAGTGTTGGAGAGTTCTCAAAAGTTACAGTCACTCTTTATCATGTACCCGCGTCTACGCTCCCAACTACGAGAGATATACAGTGCTACTCTTCCGCCGACGGATGATCCAAATACGCTTGGATCGAACAACGATCATTCGTTCCAGAGAGGTAGGGGAGGTGGAAGGGGGGGTATGGGCAGGGGCAATTCAAGGTCAGGACCATGGAACAGCGATCGAGGGACGCAGGATGGGATAGACGCGTTGGGCAAGGCTAAGCTGGAGTTTGGAAAGGCCGGTGAGGGTGTAAGAGAATATGCTAACCTCGTTTTGAAGCTTGTCGCAGCAGACGGCGTTGATGTTGCTCGACTGGTCCAGGACGAGGTTGCTGAGGAAAACGCAAAGATCATCGCGCAGCTCCTCAACGGAGATGCATATTAGAAATCAAATTTTATGCCCTCCTATCCTCCTAATTTTGCCAGCATTCCACTGCATGGCGTGCGTGGTTAGCGATTCGTAGCAATTATTCCACGACTACTGAAGTATCAAATGCGTGTGCCTGAGCTTGTGAAGCAGCTTCGAAGTTGATTAGCATGATCATAAAAACACTACCCCTAATCTTCTGTATAATAATTAAACTCAATAAATAAGCATCTGTTTCTGAGACAATCGTGGTCTCAGCTCCTCACTTTCCTATCTTAAACTAGGATTTAACGGAAAGAAATCTAGCCGAGCCCGTTAGAGCACCCGTCACCCTTCACCCTTAACCCTTACTTACCCCACATAGACGGGCCTGAGCGACTATCCCGAAGTAGCCGATTAACGTCAACCTCAACTGAAGCCATAATCTGGAAACCAGTTCTCAGTCCGTCAACCGCAGGCCCATGCCCACGAGTACTCGATGCTCACCTCGTTATTTCGGTCGCAGTTAAACCTTGAGCAGGCTCATCAACTGCAGCCGGGGCAGGCAGTGATGCATGCCAAGGCCTGGGAGGGGAACTGATCTAAGCTGTCACAAACAGTGTTCGCTCCGAGTTCTCGATGCCGAGGGCGATTCCACCACCTCAAATGTCTAGTCGCACTATACCCACGCGCCAAAAGGTTGACACGGACACAATTCAGGTCTTCCAGGAGAAGGCAGATGTCCCAACGACCGGCCAAACACGGTTGTCGCAAGGCCAATTGGAGTGCAACACCACTACGATAGATACCCCACAAACCGATGACGAAGATGATACACCAGAGAAGAAGCGTTCTGGAGGCGTTCCTTCAAGTGTCGATGTAGATGACTCCGAAATTGACTCTCCCCGCTACTCGGACGATATTCCCATACTCCAGCGAAGTGATGAGGTTACTCCAGACAGACACGCCAAGGTGTCTGGGTTTACATTTGACGAGCTTGTCGATCGCCTGTTAAGCCAGCCTATGTCGAAGGCAGATTCGAATTTTACGGACGTATTCCTGTGCATGTATAGGAAGTTTGCGTCTCCCGGGATGTTACTGACTGCCATTTTGTCCCGGTTGGAAAAATCTACGAGTGAGAAAGGTCAACATTTCCTGACCCGAACTACCGTGCAGCTTCGGATCATCGCTGTCCTTACGAAATGGATTTCGCAGTATCCAGGCGATTTCGCCGCTCCGCAGACGAATCAGAAGTTCAGCGCTTTTGTCGAGCAGATTTCCACTGAACCAGCTTTCAATTACGCCGTTCAAGAGATGAGGACTATGCTTCGCTTTCACGTCGTGGAAGATGACGATACTCGATGGGCGAAGAGTGATCTAGAGGTAGACTCTGACGTGGAGGAAGTCAACGAACTTGTCCCAGTCACATCTTCCACGACGCGCAGCTCACGGAGTACTGATCCGAGCAAGAACACTAGCAATGTATCTCTAGCTGATGAGAAGAATTCCAGACGAGATCGTCGACATTCCGAGACCGTATCAGTAACGTCAAGTGAAGCTGCGCCAGCAGCCGGTGGCCAACCTTCATCCTTTCATACAGTGAGAGATTATGAAATTGAGGCTGCGACCTTCGTGCCGTCAAGAAAGCACCTACTAACGAAGCTCCTGTACCATAATTGCATGGAGATTTCGGACGATGATTTCGCAGACGAAATCACTAGAATGGATTGGATCATGTTTTCGTCAGTCCGCGTACGAGATCTGGTTCGTGATGTGAGCCTTTCAGCAAAACAAAAGGCCAAATGCAAAAGCCTCGTCAATGTTACCCGCGCCATCAACCATTTTAATCATGTGGCATGGTGGGTGACCAACTTGATTCTCTTGAGAGACAAGGCAAAGCATCGAGCGCAGATATTGGAGAAGTTCATGCGTATCGCATGGAAACTAAGGCAGATGAACAACTATAATGGCCTGGCCGCCGTTATGGCGGGGATTCAGAATACGGCAGTTGGACGGCTCGCGCAGACACAAGCCTTGATAAGTGATGAATGCCGGAAACAGTTTATGAGACTCGAGATATTGATGGGGGTCCGAAGGAGCCATTTTGCCTATCGACTGGCCTGGCAAAATTCAACGCTGCCACGGATACCATATGTGCCTCTGTCCCGACGTGACTTGGCCTCGGCGGACGAAGGAAGCAAGACCTTTGTAGGGCCGAAAGGAGACCGTATCAACTGGTCAAAGTTTGAGGTATTTGGAGGTGTCATACTGCCTATTATGAAGAGCCACAGTACACCTGTGATTTTAGAGAAGCATGACAATGCAAGGGAAATCATTTTAGACTGCTTCATTTCCGCCGATGAGGATGTAAGTAGCCTCCACGAATTAACCAGCACAGCCTGCTAACAACAGATTAGGAGATACACAACCGAAGTACATCACTAGAGGCTAGCACCACAGGTACCGATCCTGGGAGGAGGAACAGGTTTCTTTGGTCTCGAAGTTTCAATCAATCAGTTAATTACTAACTGAACTTAACCAAAATCATGGCGTAAGTTAAGCGGGAGTACGGCGCAAGCAGGGACGGGCACATCTTTCAAGCTGCCTTTTAGCTAAATTTATCTTTATATCAACTTCACTTGGTTAACTTAGCATATCTAAAATGAAGCGGGTAATTAGTTCAATCATTGTGGTGCGGCCTAAAACTGGCAATTATTAGGTGCACAATATCAAAATTTCCAATTAAGAAACCAACCACAGTTAGCGTTCTCGGGGCTAGGCGTATATTCGTTTGTGCGAATGCATTTATGACTGTATAAGTTGTGATCTTTCTTTGATGGTCATGTACGGTTCTCATAGTTATTCTTTACTCGTTGCGTAATGTTAACTATACTATTCTTTGGAGTACTAATAGTATGTTTGTTAAGGCCTATATATTTATAAGAGTTTACTTCATTTAATTAATTATTAACTTAAAGTCACTTTATATATAATTTACTATGTGAAGGCACTTAGTAATTTAGTGTAAAACTAGGCATCTTGCTTCTCTAAAATTCGAAGGCACGCATCCCACTTCCTCTAACCTTAAGTAGAGTGAGAATTTAGATACAATTTACTTTAATATTGTACTTTATTTGAACTCTAACAATATCAGCTAGACTTATTTATGCATAGTAGATTTAACAGCTTACATTAAGGTGCCCATCTTTTGTCATAGCAATCTTAGTCTCAACCCTATCCCTAAAATTATAATATTACAGAATTACCGCCTAAATTATCGTAAATTACACAATTACCACCCTATCTTTTAAAACTTATAGAATTGCCACCCTATAATATACTTACTATGTTAAAAACACCTAAAAACACCTATCTAAGTAATTATAATAAATTAATTTTAGCTCTTATATATATATAACTTAACTATATTTATACTATTTATAAGGCTATTACTTAAGTCTATAAGTAATAGCTTATATGTGTTAGTAACGTAGGTCGTGGCGTAATCGGGAGGATGGCGTAATCGGGATAGTGGGGTGAGCGACCCCATCAAATCCAGGAGACTTGACTACCACCACATTAACCTGTCATTAATATGGTGCGCAAAACTAGCTTAAAAGCTCAAGAACGCGAAAATCTACTAGCTAAAGCAGTTATTGGAGTTAAATCTGGTATATATAAATCCTCATATGCTGCTGCAAAGGCCTTACATCTAAGGCCAGATACTGTCCTAGACCGTGTTAATAGGCAGCGGCCCTCACAGAAAGAGGCACGGCAACAACAGCAACTCCTATCAAAAAATCAGGAGCAGACCCTCTTAAAGTGGATTAAAGAGCTTACTATAAGCGGCTACGCTCCTAGCCATCGGATATTACGTGAGGTTGCAGATGAAGTCCGGTCAAATAAGTGTCGCGTTTTTCGCGTTTTTCAGCCTCAACAACAACACCTACAACAACACCTACAACAACACCTACAACAACAACCTCAAACTCAACAACTACAACCTCAAATACCTCCTAAGTTACCTCTTGGGCAGGACTGGGTTCCACGATTCATTCAAAGGCATCCTAACTTACGTGTTAAGTTAGGACGTAGAGTTGAGGCGCAAAGGATGAATGGGGTGACAAAAGAGGTGTTGAAGGGGTGGTTTAACGCGTATAAGAGCGTTATAACAGAGCTAAAAATCGAAACATACAACACCTATAATATGGATATAACATGGACGAGACTGGATTTTCAATTGGAACTATGCAATCTACACGAATTATAGTTGATTCTACACTCTGTACGCGATTTCAAGCTCATCCTGGCCAACAGGAATGGGTGTCTGTAGTTAAGTGCATCTGCATAGACAGAACTACTATTAACCCCCTTATTATTTTTAAAGGACAGAATATACTACAAAGCTAGATTCTAAAGGAAGTTATATAAAAATAGCACTTCTCTACAAACACAAAAGGATAACGTAAGTCGTGGCGTAACCAGCACAATGGCGTAACCGGCATAGTGGGGTTGGAACCACCCCATCAAACTACTACCACCTTTAAAAATAGCAAATAATTCAATTACTACCACCCTAATTCATCTATATCATTATCTTCGCTCTCCTCGCTCTCTTCTTCACTCTCACTATTAGTTAAGTTAACTATTGAGGTAGGTTGTGGTGTTGTTCTATGCCTCTGTGAAGCTGTTGCTGTTGCTGTTGCTGCTTCTGCTTCTATAACTTGCGACCGTAACTCCTCTGTTGAGATGTGGAATTGACCCTTCAAAACTGCTCTTTTACCCTTATTCTGTGTTCTTCGCTTTTGGATAATTGAACGTAAGTTATTACACTCTCTTTTTTAAAGGGTATTGTGTGTATTAAGGCGTTCTGACTCATCTGCTAACTTATTGATATATCGCTTTGTAGGAGTATTCAAAACACCTTGATTTAAGGCTGTAGAGAGCACAGAATTCGCTTTTTGAAGGGTATTAAAATCAGGTGGACTACTGTTTAAGAATACCTTCTTAAAAATATCATGCTCTGTAGGAGTATATAGTCGTTCTACTACTACTACGTCTGTAGTAGGAAGCGTAGCTGCTTATATAACTGTCTGCGGCTAGAATGGCTGTAGCCTACTTCCTCTCTAAGTAGAATTGATATTTAAAGTTGAAAAAGCAGCTGCTCTTACTTTTATATAACGTAAGTCATGGTGTAAGCGGCGACATAAATAGTGTAAGCGGCGATTTCAGAAAACACACCAAAATCCACATCACGTGACTTGAATTAAAACCTTAATAACTTCTGTAATAATGCTTGTAAAGCTTAGTGCTCTTATATTATTAGTCTCTATATATGTATACATTAGGATTTAATTTGCTATAATGTAAGCTAGTCTTATTTAAGAGTTATTTACACTTAAAGTTTTGCCATACAAATATTATATATAGGAAAAGCTAAAACCTTAATATATACTATAAAATACGACTAGCGCTACTAGCAAATTTACATATATTAGATGACTATACAAAGAGTAATAGTCTAAGAGTATTAAGCTCTATAAACATTATTACAGAAGTTATTAAGGTTTTAATTCCAGTCACGTGATGTGGATTTTGGTGTGTTTTCTGAAATCGCCGCTTACACCATGTCGCCGCTTACACCATGACCTACGTTATGGCCACGACTTACGTTATAGCCCACTCCCTCTCTAAGCAGAATTGATATTTAAAGTCGAAAAAGCAGCTGCTCTTGCAGTAATATATGCATCTATCTATTCTAACTTCTGTTGTGCCTCATTTAGGTGTAAGAGAGCAGTTATAAGGTGTTGCTTTAAGGGCCTAAAAATCGAAATATCAAGTGGCTGTAGAACATAAGATATATAAGAAGGTAGTATAAGGAGTGATATTCGATTTTGAATGCAGTGTGATATAAAGCTTCCACTTATATAACTATCGTGACCATTGCAAATAAGGAGCCGTTGTTGTAGTTTTCCATTTAAAAGTGTTGCTTTTACTCTTATAGAGGGCTCAAAAACGCGTTTTAGCCACTCTAATCCATAAAGATTGCTTGTCTATCCTTTTGTATTTGCAGAGAAGTGCCATTTTTGTATAACCTCCTTTAGAATCCAGCTTTGTAGGATGTTCTGTCCTTTAAAAATAATAAGGGGGTTAATAGCTGTTCTGTCTATGCAAACGCATTCAATAGCAGACATCTATTCTTGTTGGCTAGGATGAGCTTGAAATTGTATATAGAGCGTAGAGTCGACTATAATTCGTGTAGATTATATAGTTCTAATTGAAAATCCAGTTTCATCTATATTATAGGTGTTGTAGTTTTCGATTTTTAGCTCTGTTATAAGGCTCTTATACATGTCAAACCACCCCTTCAACACCTGCTTTGTGACCCCATTCATCCTCTATGCCTCAACTCTACGTCCTAACTTAACACGTAAGTTAGGATGCCTTTGAATGAATCGTAGAACCCACTCTTACCTAAGAGGTAAGTTAGGTATTTAAGGTTGAGGTTGTTGAGGTTATTGTGTTTGTTGTTGCTGTTGTTGTAGTTGAGGCTGAAAAACGCAACACTTATTTGATCGGACTTCCTCTGTAACCTCACGTAATATCCAATGACTAGGAGCGTAGCCACTTATAGTAAGCTCCTTAATCCACTTTAGGAGCGTTTGCTCTTGAGTTTTAGATAATAACTACTGTTTTTGACGCGCTTCAATATACGTTTTGCCACCTTTTATACGTCGCTGTAGAGTCCTTTCACACAGCCCTAAAGCCTTTGCAGCAGCATATGAAGATTTAAATTTTCTAGACTTTATTCCTAAAATAGCTTCATAAAGTCAAAAATCAAGCTCTTAAGCCTTAATACTCCTACGTTCAACCATTCTATTAGTTGTAGTAGTAGGAGTTGTAGTTGTGATGTGGTTTGATGGGGTGGCCCTAACCCCACTACCGACTTTACCCCATTACCGACTTTACACCATGACTTACGTTACTACTTAGACTATTAAAATATATATATTCTAGTTGTGCTATAAATATTACGGTTAGTTATTGTTAGCTTTATATTTAGGTGCTAGAGTGGCAACGCATGTGATAGAATGTCATGTGTAAACAAAAAAACAAACGCTCACATAATAACACA